TTCATCATATATCATTATTATTTACAGAAAAATCTATTTTTTTTAAATAGAGAAGACAAACTATTTCTTGAGAGAGAAGACAAAAGAAATAGAAGTGGGAAATCTAGTAAGGTTGTTTTACTGTAAAACATTTATAGATATGCAGCCTCTCTTCTTTCTTATATATTGAACATCCATCAAATCTATTAGTTCAACCCCAAGGTTATAAAAGAAACAGCAAAATCCTTCATCTCCAGAAAGCGAGACTTTAAAAACTAATTTAAGATGAAGCCAAACTGAGGGAGCCTCCCTTGCAGACTGGGACTTGGCACTGTATCTGTTCTTATGTCTCAGCTCACCTCTTAATGAACAACTCTACAACCCACTGCTTTCCCATAGAGTAATTTATTATAGTTGTGTTAGGTAACACTCAAGTAATGGAAACAGTCTGCCCCGGTTAAGGTTGGAGCAAACCTTCTATTATAAGCATGGATTCTAGTTTCCTGTGATTAACGCCCCACCCCCCACACAAAATTCTTCAATTAGAAACTCCCATAAAAATCCATGTTTTCCCACAATTAAAATTAAATCTGACAGCGGGAGCTCCGCTGGCCGTGGCTGTTAGCCCAAGTCCTGCCACATTTTCTGTAAAAGCACAAATTCTGTTTTTTTCCCGTGGCAAATGGATTTCCAGGATCCCTGATTATAAAATGGATTTTGACACTCCCCTTATATTTGCTAGGCTGAAACCTTTCTGCTTGAAATTTCACAGACATGAATTTAATCCAGCATAAAGTTTTTCTGGAGAGTTTGAATGAAATTTCACAAGGCTTTTTGGAACAGTGGGGTGTAGGAGGGTTCCAGACAGGTAAGTTTGCAGTATTACCAACCTCAATCTTTTAAAAGCATAAGTTGGCCTGCCAAAATCATGAGATTTTACAAAACAATAAAATTTACGTTCTTTTTATTTGTCTTCTGTTTTTTGCACCTTTATGGGTTATGTTTTGTAGCTTTGCTTTGCAAGCATGAAGGCTAGAAACTTTTTAAAATGCAAGCTAAGTTTCTCATATAATCATTTAGTGCTGGGAGCTGGAGTTTGACATATATCAGATGTCAACAGAATTATGAGGTAAAATCATGAAAGTTGACAACATCAGTGGGTTCCAATTTAACAGGACAGCTTAGAGCCATAAGTGTATAGAGGGTGTTCTAAAAAATGAGGCAATTTATCTCTCTGTTTTTAGACTTTTTTTTAATTTATTTTTTTAAACAGCTTACTTCAACACACAGTTTGGCACAGAAACTTCACATTTGGTTTAATTGTCTTTGAGTTCTGATGCCATTAATTAAATGTGTAGGTATTAGGGAGGAGAAATTATTAAAGGTAGTTTCAGAGTAGTTAGGGTATTGCAGTGTTTTGCACACCCCAATCCAGTTTGTGCACACTTTTTGGTAACATACACCTGACTAATGTATGCTTCCCTGAGAACATCATCACTGCATATGTTGCCTGCCTGCTTACATGTTTCATGAGCTTCCAGCTACAATGCACACTTTGTAATGTACATATGGCCCATTGTGGATGATATAAAGTCTGTATATCGCTGATGCCCAATGTAGACTTTTATAAACTATGCATTTTCCTGTGGTGAACTTTATAAACTCTGCCTGGGAGTGGCTGGCAGGGAATTAAAGTAGGGAAGAGGCAGTATGGAAGTGAGGGAGCCAAGGGGCTGGTTTGGTGTCCGGTGGGAGGAAGAGTAGCCTGGGAGAGATGGAGAAGTGTGGAAAAGAGCAAGATCTTGCAAACTGTGCTAGAACCCCTATGTATCTTGCAAATTCCATGCAGTCTTCTGTCACTAAACATTTCTAAAAAACATTCATTCAAAATGTAAAGAAGCATGAGGCAAAAAAATTGTTTTCCTAGAACATAAGGACATAAGAACGGCCATACTGGGTCAGACCAAAGGTCCATCCAGCCCAGTATCCTGTCTACCGACAGTGGCCAATCAATGGCAGGTGCCCCAGAGGGAGTGAACCTAACAGTGATCTCTCTCCTGCCATCCATCTCCACCCTCTGACAAACAGACACTAGGGACACCATCCCTTACCCATCCTGGCTAATAGCTATTAATGGACTTAACCTCCATGAATTTATCTAGTTCTCTTTTAAATCCTGTTATAGTCCTAGCCTTCACAATCTCCTCAGGCAAGGAGTTCCATGGGTTGACTGTGTGCTGTGTGAAGAAGAACTTCCTTTTATTTGTTTTAAACCTGCTGCCCATTAATTTCATTTGGTGGCCCCTAGTTCTTATATTATGGGAACAAGTAAATAACTTTTCCTTATTCACTTTCTCCACACCACTCATGATTTTATATACCTCTATCATATCCCCCCTTATTCTCCTCTTTTCCAAACTGAAAAGTCCTAGCCTCTTTAATCTCTCTTCATATGGGACCCATTCCAAACCCCTAATCATTTTAGTTGCCCATCTCTGAACCTTTTCTAATGCCAGTATATCTTTTTTGAGATGAGTCTTATAGTTCAGGTTGGAAAAAAAGCTAAGGAAAGACCATTGTAAGTCTCTCCAAAATGAAAAACTGTTAAAAGTTTGGAAATTAAAAACTAAAATTCCAATAAATAAATAAATGTGGCGAGTATACTTATGTTTATCTGAAGTCAGTCAACCAAGAAATGTATCTTAGTGATGTGTTTCCAGAGGCTCTTTACAGTTTTTTTTTTTTAAGGGGAACTTTAATTTCAAATGTCTGAACTTTCCATATTTTTTGTTTCTAGATAAAACTCCAACTGTTTCTTAATATTTTTTCTGAAAATAGAGAGGATTTCTTTCTTTCTTTCTTTTTTTTTTTAACTTTAATTCGAGGAAGCCAAAGTTTTCCCCTTGGAATAATAACAATATTTTGAACATCTATAGTGCCTTCCATCCAAGGATCGTAAAGTGCTTTACATGAATAATAATTAGCATTCTTTAGCCTTTAGATGGTAATAGCACTTTACAAATATAAATTAATACACACAACTCTCCTAAGAGTTAGGTATTATAATCCCCATTTTATAGATAAGGAAACTGAGCAGAAAGATTGTGTCTTATAAGGGATTGTTGGCAATCCTAAAACAAGATGTCCCTTATTTTTTCATTTTTGTACAACAAGATCAGGAGCTGCTGACTGCTGAAAAAGCAGCAAGAAATACCTCTGGTGAATATCAGTGAACAGGCCTTCTCAGAGGTCCAGAGAGGCCCAGTCCACTTCCAGCTTTTGAGGCCTCTAGCAATAATAAAAATAAAAAATGACGACACATGAAAACAAAATAAGGTGCCAAAAAAAAAGTGAGACATAATTTGAATATTTTTTTATTTAACAAATACTTTTCTAGCCTTTTTCTGTGCAAATGCACTAATTATTGAGGAAAAATCTAGCTTTCATGCAATGTAACAGCTGATATTAAGCATAGCGAGCCTATCCAAACGCTCTTGTCCCATAGTTGAACGGTGATAGTTCTTTACCTGCTTCAACACGTTGAAGGTGCGTTCATCTGAAGCCACTGATGCAGGTAAACTGACAAAAATACGCAATGGAATTGTGATATTAGGAAACAGCCCAGAGAGTTCCAGTTCGTGTATTTCTTGAAGCAATTCCTTTGAGGCCCCCTTTGAGCTTGAGTCCCAGGCCAAATGGCCCTCCCGACGTGCCCCCCCCGCGGGCCCCCCCCCCCCCCCGCCCGCCGGCTGATTGGCCCTGTCAGTACTGTGTACTATTATTGATGATGATGATGATTGGGTGGGGTGCTAAGAAAACAATTCCTTATTTTTGAAATACAATGTTGGCAACCCTATGTCTTACTCAAGAGTCAGTGTTAGAGCCAGGCTGATCATTTAACATTTATATTGCCTAAAACAGGCCACATTGTTCTATGCACTGTACAAACATAAATAACATATCCTGCCCTAAAGGGTTTAGATGACATAAAAGGTGGATGAGACAAGTAAGTGGGGTCAGTTGAGTGAGATGCAATAAGAAATAATCATATGATGTGTGCAAATTGTAGCTAGACAGTAAGAGAAGTCATTCAGGACCTCCTGACTTCCAAGCCCTTGTTCATGCCAGTCCTCTAGCAACCCTGTGGCATAGCAGGGAGTATCCACCCAATCTCCTCAGTCTCTGCTCTAGCAGATTGTTCTCAATGATGCAAGATCAGGCACTCAAACACAATAATAAAGCTATTGAAAGCGAGATTATTTTGCCTACAGTTTGAGCAGTCACTTTGCTTGAGTATTTTCTTTTGCATGTTTTTACAATACTTCCAATAGGGTCACTCTTCTAGTTGCTCCTCCATGTACTGAACTGGGCTAGAGGAACTGCAGGAATGGACCCTATTTTAAATTTATAGTGATTGAATTTGTTTTCATGGGGATAATTTTTTTTTTAAAGACACTTTTGAGTAATTTTGCCTGAAATGTATGCAGTCGTTAACCCTGCAAAGAGCTCTCTATAGCCACAGGACCTTATGCTGACTTTAGCAGGCCGTGTGGTATTCAGCCATTTTGGGCATTATTCTGCCAGCAATTATTGCACTCCTTTGTGGGAAAGTTCCTCTTCGCAAACAGTTCTGCAAACGTTGGGGCCTCAGTTTTCACATAATTTTGTTTCCCCATTATGTAGCCTGCAATCTCTGCAAGGCAGATTGTTTGGCAAGCACATTTTAACGATCATTTCTCTCTAAAACGTATTTGCAAACCACGGCACAGCTGGTAAGGGAGCTCTGCCCACTCGCTAATCAACTCCGCTGAGTAGCTATTCTACAAAAAGTCAGTTTGCTTCTATTGGGCGGGGAGGGGGGGGAAGTTCCGCACTCCCTGCCGCCTGCCCCGGTGCCCCCAGCAGTCTGGGCGGGCGCACGCGGGCGGTGTTCGCAGCTTCGGACGCGAGCAGCCGGAGCGGGGGGCGGGGCTGCAGTCGGCAGGCGCGGGTCACGTGATTCCTTCCTGTGGCTCGTTCGGGGTTGGGTCCCGCGCCTACTGCTACTAGTCCCGGAGCAGCTCGCGCCGGGTTCAGCTGCTCGCGCGCACTCTGTCTCCATGGCGACCCGCGGCGGGGCGGCGGCCGGGAGGCCCTACGAGCTGGTGGTGTTCGGGGCCTCGGGCTTCACGGGCCACTTCGTGGCGGAGGAGGTGGCGCGGGTGGCGGCCGGGGCTGAACTGCGGGGCTCGCTGCGCTGGGCCGTGGCCGGCAGGAGCCGGGACAAACTGCAGGGGGTGCTGGACAGGGCGGCTGAGAGGCTGGGTAAGGGAAGGGAAGAAGAGGGCGGAGGCCCGACAGGGGCTAAAGAAACGGGGACCCCGGCTCTTCACTTCCCCCCCCCCGCCCTGCCCGGGCCCCCTCCGCCCATGGCCCTGCCCAGGTCCCCCCTCCTCCCTGTGGTGATATCAGCACCCTCCCCACCATGGCCTGCTTGGTCTCCCCCCCATGGCCCTGCCCGGTCACCCCTTCCACCTGTGGTGGTAGCAATGTCCCCCATGGCCCTGCCTGGGTCCCCCTTCCTCCTGTGGTGATATCAGCCCCCCCCCCATTGCGCTGCCCAATCACCCCTTCCTTCTGTGGTGATAGCGGCACCCCCACGTGGCCCTGCCTGGTCCCCTTCCCCCTGTGGTGGTAGCAGTGCCCCCCCCACCATGGCCTAGCCCCCCCCCAACTTCCCCTCGTGGGCATAGCAGCACTCCCCTACAGGGATGGCAGTGCCACCACCCCCATGGCTCCTCACTCCCTTCTCCCCCCCATGCAGATAGCAGTGTCCCATGCCCCTCTCCACCTGTGGCTGGGGCCTTAAGAGCTCTTTTTCCTGTTTCAATCTCCTTTAACTCCTAACCTTCTGGATGGAAGGGGCAACTGGGCACCAATGTTGGGGGAGCCCTCCTTCAAGCTCCTGTGGGTGGAGTGGGGATCCGGCCCCGCAGGCGCTGAGCAGTCAGTAAGATTTGGGCAGCTCTGCTGTGGTGGGGTGGCCTTGTCATCTGTGTTTGGGGCCTTGAGCAGCAACTGTGATAGCAATTATTATTTGTAATAATAGTCATAGTCTTCTGGCCCCATTAATCAGGCCAAGATCCCTTGCAACCGTTGTGAGGTTGCACAGGATGTTGCTGGTGTTTACCTCTGACACCACTGGGGTTTAATCCTCCTCTGCCCCACAAAATGGAGGGAAAAGTCCTAGTTTGTTAATGTGCTGGAAAAGCATCCCATTTTCTTCCTATCCTTGTTTCTATTCATACCATAAATAGTACAGTAAGAACTGTAGTTAAAAGAAAGAGCAAGTAAATTTGATGAGGCTAGTAACCTGATAGTACCAGGCTCCTCTTGTAACACTTATTCTTTTTTTGATTCTTAGGAAAGCCAGAGCTAAAGTCAGAAGTTGGCATAATACCCTGTGATGTCAGTGACCCATCCTCCCTTGCTGATATGGCTAAACAGGCAGCTGTTGTTCTCAACTGTGTAGGCCCAGTAAGTATCAGTCTTCTAAGTATCAGAAACAAAATGGACAAACAAGCAATTCACATGCTGTTACAGACAAAAGGCGGTATACTGTAAACATGTAGTAACTGAGTATGCGGTTTAAGATCAAAACACGAGCTGTGAAACTCTAAAAATTAAATATAGTTTCTTGAATAAATAAATATTAATGAGATTGTGCTGCTGCTTCAGACAGTAAATTTGGAATGGCTGCTTATTGCACGTGACGTATTGCACCATAGTTGCATATGTTTTGTTTAGAAAATAAAACCAGTAAAGGCAATTTAATCTACTTAATTATTGTTTTGCATTAATACTAAAAACAAATTTAGATTTATCATGTGCTCTACTCCCCCGTTCTACATGTCTTGGCAGCACCTATCTTCCAGCTCTTGCCCTTTGATCTACTGTGGATGAGTTGGCAGAGGGAATTCTGCAACTCAGAATTTAAAGGGATACCAATAACTAAGACTCAGACAACTATAATTGGTAACATTTTTCAGACAGTACTAACCACACAGATGTCTACATCTGAAAAATTAAAGCAAACAGTTTGTTTTCTGTTTTGACAGCACTTCAGGTGTGTATTGAATTTGAATGTTTCCCCAGTGTAATTAATTTTCCTTGTTGTTTGTGTGAGTCTAACACAGCAATAGAAGAGAGAACATTTTCATTGAAAAATGTAATGTAAATCCACAAAAACTGGCTGAGGAATCTGAAATAGATGTAGTGCCTGAAACTACTTTGAAGTGTTTGTCTTTTAGATAACCAATTAAATTTCAAGTTGATGGTATCCCTTTAAATGTCCCCAAAGAATGAGTTCAAGAATTTTAGGTCAGCATAGGGCAAACTCTGTTGCATTTTGTTGACATATCCTAACAAATGGTAATGCCCAACCTACTGCAATAATTTGCTCCATTTAGCAAAACTGTCTGTAAAATATTTGCTTTTATTGCACATTTGCCAAGTAAGATAAATAGCTTCCTTTTCTGTTTATAGTACAGTTTTTTTGGAGAACCAGTAGTGAAAGCTTGTGTTGAGAATGGCACAAGTTGCGTTGACATCAGTGGAGAACCTCAGGTATGTGACATGAACAAATGAATGAATTACCGCTTGAAAATATCAGATGAATAATTTAGTAAAGACAGTTTTATTGAATATATTTGGGTCACATCTTTAGTTCTCACTGATATTCCTGAACAGGAAAAATATTTTCCAGTCCCTAAGCTGTGATTTTTAAATGTGTTCTTAGTTTCCCTTTCTTACTCTTAGCAACAGTCATTAGAAACAGTGTGGGACTGAAAATTAGGAACTCATGAATTTTAAATCCCAACCTTGACTGTGATGTCATCTGGGGGTTTCATCTTTTGCATTATTTTCCAAACCATAAAATAGGAAAACAAGTAGTTAATATTCCTACTTCACAGGAGTGTTGTAAGGATTAGTTCATGTGTATAAAATGCTTTGAGTACATATAGCACTATATAAGTGCTGATTAATAATACTGGGTACAATTTTCAAAAGTGCTCAGGTGACTTAGGAGGCTAAATTCTACTTTCAGAAATGATGTTAGCTAAATCGTTTGGGAAATCTTGAAAATTCAAAATTAGTAAAATGTCATATTTTCTGGTAGGTTCCCTAGATATAGATTGTAACTTTTCTATAGGATGGGTTAGTGGTCTATGCACACATATGTGAAATACCTCAACTCGCTGGAGATTCAGGTTCAGATCTTGGTAGAGTTGACTCATGAAAGTGTTTTAGAAGAGACCTTTAAAATGTAATTCCTTTCTGCTGTGTGTGTGTGTGTGTGTGTGCATTAAACATTCCATGTACACTATTTTTAAGAATAGGGATTTGCTCTGATGATCTTGATTAAAATGCTTGCTCCCTCCCTCCCCAATTGAGCAATGTAATACAGTAACTCCTCGCTTAACATTGTAGTTATGTTTCTGAAAAATGCGACTTTAAGCGAAATGATGTTAAGCGACTCCAATTTCCCCATACAAATTAATGTAAAGGGGGGGGGGGTTAGGTTCCAGGGAAATTTTTTTCATCAGACAAAAGACTATACATATATATATATATACACACACACACAGTATAAGTTTTAAACAAACAATTTAATACTGTACACAGCAGTGATGATTGTGAAGCTTGATTGAGGTGGTGAAGTAAGAGGGTGGGATATTTCCCAGGGAATGCCTTACTGCTAAATGATGAACTAGCACTCGGCTGAGCCCCCAAGGTTAACACTTTGTTAACGTAGCCTCACACTCTACAAGGCAGCACAAATGGAGGGAGGAGAGACAGTATGACAGACAGAGAGACACATCCTGTGAGAGAGAGAGAGAGAGAGATGCGCATTGCCCCTTTAAGTACGCTGATGCCACTCTTAAGTACATTGCCTTTTTAAGTAGATCAGCAAGTTGAGACTGCAGCTGCTGGCAGCAAGCTCCTTCCGTCCTGAGCCCTGTCGTGTCCCCCTGCTCTATGGAGATGGGGAAAGCAGGGAGCAGGAGCGGGGGGGAGGGGGACACTCTGACATTAGCCCCCCCTCTTCTTCCCCCCTGCACAGCAAGCAGGAGGCTCCCGGGAGCAGCTCCAAGGCAGAGCGCAGGAGCAGCACATGGCAGTGGGGGGAGGGACAGCTGAACTGCTGGCAATTGATAGCCTGCTCCGCAGCTGCTGCATAGGGAACTTAGGGGAGCAGGGAGCTGATGGGGGGGCTGCCGGTCCACCCTGGTTCCAAGCCCCCACCAGCTAGCTCCAACAGGCTGCTCTTTCTGCAAGCAGTGGACAAAGCAAGTGGCTGCCAAACAACGTTATAAGGGAAGATTGTGCAACTTTAAACAAGCATGTTCTCTAATTGATCAGCAACGAAACAACGTTAACAGGGACAACTTTAAGTGAGGAGTTAATGTATGTGCCTAAAAGATGCCAGCATCTGCATTTCAGTGACTCGGTATATGTATATAGTCTTCCAGAACTTGGAGATGATAAAGATGCTATATAAATGTGAAATATGGCTGATCGGATGTGCTTTCACAGAGGATAGATAAGTAAATATTAAAGGTTGATTCTTTGCTGTCTTGTTCTTCTCCCTTAAAATAAATTATAGTTTGTACAGTTCTGTCTTACCAGAGTAATGATGCTTTAAAAAAAAAAAAAATCTAGTGAGATTTTAGGCCCCAATCCAACAGAACATTTAGGCATGTGCTTAAAGTTAAGCACATAAGTAGTCCCATTTACTTCAACAGGACTACTCTTGTGCTTACAGTTAAACACATGATTAAATGTTTTGCTGGATTGGGGTTTAAAATCTCACTTGAAAAAATCCCTAGCTGTCATGGTAGTTTAGGACTGGAATAAATTGCCTAGGGAGGTTGTAGAATCTCTGTCTAACCTGCTCTTAAAAACCTCCAATGACAAACACCTGTCAGGGATGGTCTGATAATATTTAGTCCTGTCTTGGGTCAGGAGATTGGATTAGAAGACCTCTCAAGGCCCTTTCCAGTCCTATGATTCTATAATTCAAAATTATAGAATGTTCTGTTGGTTAGTGATATTAGCTCTTGATGGCTCATAATTTTCTGTATGGTACTGGTGTAAAGGAAAAAGAGGGAAGCATAATTATGCAGAATTAATCACTGGCCTTATGGGGTGGCCAGAATGTAACACTGTATCTTCCACAGGAAAGAGAACACAGATAACTTTCACTGAAATACCGGATTTAAAATATTTCAAGTGTTTCTGTGTGAGTGGCTTTTCAGTTGAGCTATTCATTTTCAATGTCTAAGATACATATCTTGACTGTCTTACACTTTACACAAAGATACAGTGAATATGTTATGACTAAAGAACATTGAATACTGTAAATAGATACATTTGTGGTCTACTGCTATACTGTTACCACCAGATAAGACTTGTGTTATAGACAATATGTGTATGATGTGGAGTTTTATGAATAAATAGGCTTTTATTTTATTTAGAATATAAACCGTACTTCTTCAACTGATGGTCTATATATGTATTCCAAATGTGGATGCACATGTGTGCTATGTGCCGGAGCTGGAAGTTTTTCAGCAGCAGTGTCTGTTGACCCGCACATGGTGACGTAAGGCTCCCTTCTAAATGAACCCGAAAAGGAGGAGGTTCCCTCTGTGTTATGGTTAAAGTTAGAATTAGTTAATTTAGCATGTTTCCTTGAAGTTCAGATTAAACCACAGTTCAGGATTATTCATTTTAAAATGTTTGTATTTAATATTTTTCAGTTTCTGGAAGGAATGTATCTGAAATATAATGATAAAGCTGCAGAAAAGGGGGTATATGTCGTTGGAAGCAGTGGCTTTGACTCTATTCCAGCTGATATGGGAGTCTTGTACACCAGAGACAATTTGAAAGGTGATTTATCTAAGTGTGACCTTTATCTTGATAGTTATGTTGGGCTGAGATTCACAATCCTGGATCCTGGTTTGTTTGTCGTGTGTTTATTGCTAAGGCTCAGATTTTGTCACAGATATTTTTAATAAAAATCATGGGCAATAAACAAAAATTCACGGAAGCCTCTGACCTGTCTGTGATTTTTACTAAAAATATCCCTGACAAAATGGGGAGGGAGGAGGGTCCAGAACCCACAGTGGCTGAGAGCTCTGGTGTCCCCTTGCGCCCCCCTCGCAGCATCTGGGCAGGGGGGGTGGGGTGGGGTGTCCCCCCGCCGCTTACTGGGACTGGGAACTCCGGGGTCCCCTTGTTGCCTGGCCATTAGGAGCTGCTGGGGGCCCGCCAGCAGCGGCTGAGAGCTGTGGGGTTGCCTGCTGACAGTTCCAACCCCAGGGCAGAAAATGTCATGGAGGTCTCTGGAAGTCATGGATTCCGTGATCTCTGTGAAATAACCGTAGCCTTATTTATTGCTTATCAGAGAGACAGTAGTAGATGTTGGAGCCACAATATACTCTGTCTTTCTGTCAGTGTCCTATTGTCACTATTTTGTCTTTAAGAAGGACAGATGTGTAGAAGCTAGACTGAAATGATTAAACTAATTTCAGCTGTAACTTGACCCCACTCTCAGTTATGGATTCTGTATCCAGTAGAATTGCATTTAGTATACTGAATACCTTTCATTGTGACCTTCCTTTAAAGTGTCAACACAATTACTCACATGAGTGATCCCACACTAATTATCTTTTTATAAATTTTTAAAAGGTGGTACGTTGGCTTTAAGATATAGCAGACAGTAAACTAAGATTTGGGAGAGAAAATTTGTTTTGCTGTTCATTACCTAGCAAAATGTAAAATATATACAAGAAGTTAAATGCAGTGGAACAAGTTGATTTATTGTATGGCACTCAAAAGGGCTACCAAATTTTGTGACTTCATCTCTAAATTTCAATAGCCTACATAATGCTTAATGTCAAAGCAAAGGTGAAAAATGCTTTGGGCCCTGATGTTATCTTTTCCCTTTTTTTCTTTAATCACTGAGCTGTTCTTTCTTTATATAAAACAAGGATGGCAGCTAGTAAGTGAGGATAATATCATATACTTTGATAAAAGCACTTTGCCTATGGTACTCAATGTGAGTAAAATAGCCTTGGCTTACAATCTTAGTTTATTTTCCTTGGAGATAAAGTACTTCAATACTGGAGTCTTACTTTACTCTTCCTCCTCTGCTAGTGATATCAGTCCTCTGACAGTCTGTCGGGATGTGTCCCTCAGTGGGTGAACTACTGTCTAGTTCACTGCTGTATGACTGCATATGAACTACTTTTTAACAGTTTTTTCCCCATTAAAGGTACCCTAACTGCAGTTGAAAGTTTCCTGACAGTGAAATCTGGACCTGAGGTTAGTTTGTTTATATTGTCTTCTAAAATTGCATACTTATTAGCCACAAGCATACATAATGTGAACATTACAAAGCTTGTGAGATAGCAGCTAACCAAAGACATATTTTTTACCCATAATCAAAATATCATAGCCTTTGTAGCAGCTTTGCAAAACTGCCATGAAGCTATATCGGACCATGGAACAAGCTAGATCCCAGCCGTTTGTAGTGGTGATGAAAAATAATTTTATTGGTCTTGATGTAACTGATAACTAGTCTTTTGATTAAAAACATTTATCATAGCAAGGCTCATTTGTAAAGAGTTGGCGGGGAAAACTTGCAAAATACATTAAAACATAACAACCTGAGCTGCTGTCAGTAGGCCAGTGCCAGTATATTTTTTTAATGTAGCTGGTCGTGCATGTAGACATAGTATGAGAAATGTTAAAAGTAGTAGTAATAAGGAAAGAGTTTCCCCAGGCTGGATTAAACATTAGGTCAGGATTTTAGATACTGGAGTAGTAACAGTTTCATGGTATTTCACTAGGGGTACAGTATCCATGATGGAACCTGGAAGTCAGCTATTCATGGCCTTGCAGATCAAGACAATTTGAGGAAGCTTCGAAAGCAGATAGGACACAAACCTCTCCCAATCATTGGCGCAAAACTAAAAAGAAGGTAAGAGAAACTTATAAAACCAGAATTTTGTTTTGTTTTAATCTTTCCCCTAGAGCTTTATAATTATATTATATTTTAATATACATTTCTAAAAGAAGGAATGTTTCCTGTCTGGTATAATTGGACGAATAACTTCTTTAAATAAAGACTTAATGTATCTGATATTTCAAGATAAGGTACAGTGAGGGAAAAATGCATCAAAACTGATTGGCTTTTTGTAACATCACCTGTACTGAAAGCTTTATTAGAGAAACTGTTAGGAGCACCCTTTGATCCTAGATTTACTGACTTAAACAATTACATTTAAAAAGCTCTTACTGCTATGGAAGGACAAAATGTTGTACGGGCAGTAAGTCAAATTCATCCCTTGGTAATGCAATTGACTTTGGTTTGTGGTAGGGATAAATTTGGCTCAGGTTTTTGGATTATTTATTAAATCCAAAGGAAAGAGAGAGTATGGGGTAAAAATGCTTACGGAAAAAGCTCTATTTTTGTCCAAGTTACAATTGTAAGTCAGTTTTACAACTTGCTAAGTTTTGAAAAGAATAGCTATACAGGTGACATTACTGTAAGTGAAGGAAAATATTAATGAATGTTTCTTTTGCTTTCAGAGGACTAGTGTTTTACAGTCAGGAATTCAAAGAGTACTCCATTCCATTCATGGGATCAGACGTCTCTGTTGTAAAACGAACTCAACGGTACTTGCACACAGATTTGAAAGAAACACCTGTAAGTTTGCTTTTATGTTTATAAAATCAGTTTTCTGTTGTTCTTTGTAGCACTTTCAGTGGCGTGAAGCATCTCTTCCATTTTTCTTCAAATCAACTATCTTCAGACTAGACTGGCTACAGATTTAGAGTTGCTAGAGAAGGGACAAACACATTGTCTTTTCCCTTACTGAGCTTCAGTCAAAGAAATTAATAGTTGGGGGGTCTTGTGGCAGACTCATTTGCTCCTAGAATCTCAGCTGGCAGTGGTGTCCTAGTTTTTTTGTTTTTGTTACCCCTCCCTACCCTGTATTCTGTGCTTTGCTAGCAGGGTACTATCTTTCAGGTGTGGATCTAATACCATTTCTTCATGAATCTTGTCAACTGTAGGCTAAACTACTTAACACACTCTATGCAGCTTGTCATCTTAGTCTTGTGAGCCATGTTGTTCAGTACATAATATGGCCTCCTCTTTGCTTTTGAGCGCAGTTTAACATACAGTTAATCTATAAATCCCTATAGGGTCTGCACCATGGCTATCTAAGAATGCTTCTCTTTATATACCTTCCATACAGATGACAGAGAGAGATGAACAAGTTCTTAGACTCAAACTTTGTGGGAAGAGTTTTCTCATTAGAAGTTCTTGACCCTGGAACTTGCCTCTCTTGTCTTTTCATCAGAGTAGGTGTTTGCTCACTTTGGAAAGTAGGGTAATGTTCATCATCTACTTCAGGTTTTTGCTGGAGGAAGGCTGAGGAGTGTTTCACTTATAAGACTGGGTGAAGCAGTTGGGTTAGAATATTGTTTATGCTCTTTAGAGAAGTATTGGGGCAATTTTAAGTTTATTTCTGTTTTTTTGGACATAGTCAAGGGTTGGAAGTGTGTATATATAGTTAATTTTCATTCTAATTATGATGTAATTTATGTTCAGAGGTTTAGGCGGTTGGCCCATTATTACGAACATAAAATATAACACATTTTGACTCTAGCTCATTCCATGTGATTCTGCACCATTTTAAACATATGTTATGATAAGATACTGATCCATATTATGCATTGGCCTTCATTATTTTAACCTTACTTACAGCATCAAACACTTAAAAATAGCCTTTTCTAGTTTAACATCGTCTAATGGTTTCCTATGTGCATTAAGGAATACTATTATTTCATTCCCTACTCCCCACCCCCAAACTGTCAGGTCTGTGTAACATAGCAAGTAGATTGTGATCAAGGGGTAATGCCACTCTTGATCACCTGGTATTTTTATTGATGTCTGTGGGATTTGGGTGTGCAGATTGAGGGCAGCATCAAGGTGAGAAATGCTCTATGTTCACAATGCGCGGGTGCTGAGCTTTTACACATTTTCCCAGCAGGAGATGAGTACCAGCAGTCTCTTGAATCATTTAAAACAAAGTTAGTTTTGCTTGTGTTGAGGCAAAAAAAGATGGGAAATGTAGTTTTAAAGGAGGAAGAAAAGTAACGTGTCTGGCTTACGATCTGTTTTGCACTGTTCTCTTGTTTACCATATCCCCTCTCTACAGCTTGCACCACAAAATTATATTCTCCCCTTATTTTTTCTACTCACTGTGAATACTGAAAATGCAGCATTAGTCAGAGATGGTTGGAACTGAGTGTATGTGTATATCAGACACGGTACAGCAGCACAACTGCAGCATTTCCAGTGTAGATACTTTGTACAGCGATAGAATGGGGCCTTCTGTTGCTGTACTAAATCCACATCTCCGAGAAGCAGTAGTTAGGTCAGTGGAAACATTTTTCTATTGACCTAGCAGTGTCTATACCAAGGCTTAGGGAAGCTTCATTATATTGCATAACGTGTGACATTTTTCACAGCCTTGGGTGATGTGCAGTACTTAAGTGACCTAACTTTGTAGTGTAGACTAGTCCTAAAAGTTGTTTGAAGGTTCTTTCTGCTGTGGAATATCTTTTGACATCAGCACAGTGGAATAGTTTTTTTTCATCTTTTACTGAAAACTTATCTTTTTGTGTTCCTGTATTAGGTGCAGTATGCAGCTTATGCAACGGTGGGTGGTATTGCATCTGTTATTAAGCTGATGTTTGCTGGCCTTTTATTTTTTCTTCTTGTGAAGTTTAGCTTTGGAAGAAATCTCCTGACAAAAGTAAGTATTGTTTTTCATTTTTTAACATTTCAGACATGCTGGCCCGTTGCTTTTTCTAATTTAGTTTTGGGTTTTCTTTTGCAGTACCCAGAACTTTTCTCTGGTGGACATTTTACAAAGAAAGGACCAACACAAAAGCAGGTAATTTAATTCTTTCATCCACAGTTATACAGCATTTTAGTGTTTGCTTTTATTATGCAAATTACATTGCAAAAGGCTAGAGTCTGCCACTTAAGGGTGTGTCTACACTGCAATAAAAAACCCATGGTAGAAACTGTGTGTCTGAGTTAACTGACTTGAGCTCTTGGGGCTAAAAATTGCAGTGTAGACATTTGGGCTGGAGCCTAGGCTCTTAAATCCTGCAAGGAGGATTTTAGAGCCCAAATATCTACACTGCTATTTTTAACCCTGCAGCCCAAGTCAGTTAATCTGGGCTGAGAGACTAGAAAAGTTCTTGGTGCAATATATATTGTTATGCAAAGGTATAAAAAGTGAAGTACACTTGCTAAATACAAATTGTTGTATTACACAAAGAAATGGATACTCTGTAAATGAATGATACTCTGTAAACTTCTTGTCTTCTGCATTGCAGATAGATGGATCATCCTTTACAATGACATTTTTTGGTGAGGGATACTGCGAGGGCCAAGATCCACAACAGGGCAAACCAAATGTAAAAATCTGCACCCAAGTGAAAGGACCAGGTAAGGAAGCCAGAATGTTTTATTATGGTCATCTTAAAAATTCAAGGTCAGCTGTTTGTCATGTACCCCTCCTTCTACTGACCATTATTTTTTAGCATTGTAAAGAGTATTTGAATATAGCTGGAAGCCATTGTATAGTTGCCAGCTGTTATAAAGAAGCAGTGATGTTGGAAGGAAATCTACTTGTGGGTGTTACATAAGCAAGAAATTAAACCAATAGATGTAAATAACACTACTACAATTAAAAAAATTAGCTTACTGCCTTAACTTACGGAGGACTTCCATTTCATGTAGCAACCTGGAATTTCAACACTAATTGCATCTCACTCTGCTATTATTCCAAGGCTAAACACAGCCATTGCTACTACAAACTACTTTTCCATGATTTTTGGGAAGACAGCCTGTGTAGCATTATTAATTTTGATGGAATATAATGGGCACAAAGGTGTTATATGACCCTGTCAATGTCTAATGTTAAACAAGGTTGAGGGTTTGGTATAGAGAGACCTTAACCTGCTTAGCATCATGGCAAACACATCATTAATAAAGGATTAAAAATATTTCTAAAGTATAGGAAAAAAACAGTTAACACTTTTATTTTAGCAACATGCCTTGCTCCCTTTCCCTCTAGCTGAATTTTTTTTTAAAAGACTCCCATGTCCCCAGTTGACAGTGTTTAACTGTCTTGGGGGGTGGAGGGGAGTTAATGGGGCTGGAGCTGTTGCTGTTCTTAAATCCAATCCCATTTCCTAAAAAAAAAAAAAAAACACACAAAAGGGGAAACAAAAGAACAGCAAAAATAGAAAATGCAGCTTCTCGGTGTTAACTCACTTCCATCCTCACTATTTGAAAAACACTATTGCACATGGTTTTATCAGCCACTCTGAGACCTGGCAAACTTGTACAGGTTTTAACTGCCTCTTGGTTACAATCTTACAGCAGTGCTGCAAAATATGGTCTATACCAGACTCTTATTAGACAGAAGGAAAAAGGAGAGGGATAGACAAGAAGGGAAAGTTTTTGTAAAAGAGTCTTTTATCCCAGGTGGTGGTGGTGTTATCTGGCTCCCTCTCTGGAGCAGGAAGATGAAGGCCTAGTTGTGTTACTTATGAGACAGTGTGGGTGGAAGTCATGATGGTAAGTCTCTCTGCAGCTGTTGTTGGCAGACAGCTGCTTCTTGATTTCCCCTTCCCCCTCCAAAAAAGGAGTGATGGGTGAATAACCCATCCCCTCATACTGTCCACTAGTTAGGCCTACTTCCAGTACAATAAATGTTGATTTTCAGTCCCACCCTTCTGATGTTCACCAGGCATGATATTAACACCGTCCTCGAGTTATATCAGTAGGCCTTGTTGTTTGTATTAATTCAGTCTGTTGCTGTTTTGCATTGTTCCCCATCAATATATGTTGTTTATAGCTTCTTGTGACATTTTATGAACTTTTACTCTTATGTCACAGTTGAGCTCACCATTAAGGTATGTTTGTAGGCTTAATTACTACAACAGTACTACTTATGTAAATTTATTCAGTTTCTGATATTAGTCTCACTTCCTAGATGGAATAAGCTAAAAGTGATGTGAAGAGAGAGTACTTTCATGATACGTTTGTGATTGTTACAAATTGGCCTCATGCCTTACTGTATAGTCACCCGTCTGTTGTAATTGGACCCAACCGCTGGGTCCCATGTACTTCTAAGTTGACAGTAAGGGAGTGTAGGGCTCACTCCTCAGTACAGACATCGTGGCTGATGCCCTTATTTGGGATGTGGATACCAGGGCCCAGCTGTCCTAGACTATGAAACCAGTGCCTCAGAATGCCCAGCTGGCCTATGGTCACTCTGGACTTCTAGTGGGACAACTTGGGAGGAAAGCAAGGAACACAGGTTTAGCCAAGTAATTTCTTTGCAGCCAAGAGTTACAGATCTTTGAAAAGAACTAAGTCCTGAGATGTACTTTCCCTGAGTCACCTCTCACCTTTTCAAGACAGTCAAAATCAGTGGCCTAGATTTCAGTCTTAGTGATAGGGTAAAATTGTAGGCCCAATTATTACAAGAATAATTGGAAGCTCAGCTGTAAAATGTATGTGAAAGCCCATAAGTGGCAAAATAATTTACAGTAATAAATGTTGATAGGAAAAGTTGCAAAAGGGAGACAGATGGAATTAGTACAAACAAAAGGATCTACTGCTATAACTCAAGGACTGTGTTAAGATCAGTCCTGCTAAACAAGAAGTGTGGAACCAGAAATCAGTGAACCAAAGTTGGGCCTAATTGGTGGACAAAATAATGAGGGGATGGGCTATTCCACCCACCATTCCCTTTGTGAGTCTTTCTTTAAAGACAGATTGGCTAAGAGCAAACCTCACTACATGGCTGCCACCTCTCTCAGTCTTCTGGGACCTGAGGGACATCCTAGCCAGAGTGAGGGACCTAGATAACATCACCCCCTCTACAGCTCCAGCTAAATCCCCAACACTGATGAAATAGGACCTGACTTCAACAGCAGCAGCATCAGTCTCTAAACTAACGCTTTCTCCCCCAAAACATCAGTTATTACTATCTGTCTGCCAAACAAGGATTTTTCTTTTAAAGATTCTCTCCAACTAAAGGGAAAAGGAACTTTGTTAAAATGAAAGCCTTACTTACAGCATTTGAATTGTAAAGTATTAACTGTTTCCTTCATCTTAAACATACTTTTAAACCTTTTGTTAAATGATGTTTCCCCCATGGTACTAAACCCCGATCCATGTTTAACACAGTTTAATGTTGAACAGTGACTGGGTTATGTTAACACCTCTGGCTGTATATTCCATCTAATTATATACACCAGTCTTCAACAAGCTGTCACACACCTTATTGGTGGCTCAACAGATAGATATCTACTCCATTATCACATTTTTTGCAGATGTTGGCTATGTTGCTACAGCAGTAGCAATGGTTCAGGCAGGTGTAGCGCTGCTAAAGGATGCAAGTTCTCTTCCTAAACAGTGAGTCTTTATTTTCCTATGTACTGTATGTGCGCATAACCCTTCTTAACCCCCTGGTCCTCTGTGCATTTAAAATGGAGCTGGAAAACGAACATCCAGGAAACACACAGCATGCTCCTTACGTATCCAGTTAGCCAATTTTTTCAATAGAGATTGATGTGAGCTGTGTCTTTACAAAATCAACCACCTTATTAAGTTCTGGAAAAACCCCAAGCCAAGCAAAGCTTTCTATAACTCAGTGCATAATTATTTGTAATAACCAATTCTCATGTTGAGTATTTAAAAAATAATTTTAAATTAATCACTTTAATTCTGATAATTGCATAAATATATATATATATATATATTATCATCTAATTACAGAAGACAAGACACAAATAATTTAGCTATGTGGACAATTAGCTTTTTAGTCTTCCCCCTACTGCCCTGGGGCTGCTTCTCTGGCTGGCACAAAGGAGGTGTACAGAGGAGTCGCATCATAGGCGCATTTAACTTACTTGATTTTAACTATACATGCTTGGCAAAACAAACAAAAAAAGAGAAAAATAATTTAAATACTGTACCTGTAGTGCGGGCAATTCTGCCCGCCATTCCACTCAATGAGCGTTTGACTATACGCGATTTTCGCCTTACGCGCTGACTTCAGCACCTAACCCCCACATAAGATGCGACTCCCCTGTAGTTGAAGAAAAAGTCACTGCTGCATCCAGGGCAGAAGAGAAGCATAATTAAAATTAACTTTTTGTTACTTGGGCCATTAAGATTTTAAATATTGTAATTACTGATATTTATGTAGCTATCAAACTAAATCCATTTTTTTGTATAAAAGTTACTTTTGAAATGCTTCAGGGCTGGCCATGCTGGTAGAGCTGTGTGTGAGAGAACTTGTCAGTGATCCCTGCCTTCATGGAGGGATTAGCATCATCACAGAGAGAGGGTCCTGGGGCAGCAAGAAGCAGAGGGAATCGCTGAGTCTAGGACCCCTGATGCAGCAGCATTTCCCTGCCTCCTGCTCCTTTAAGACCCCTCTCTGCTGTAGAGACAGTCCATCCATGAAGGCAGGGGGTAAGGGCAGGTTTGTGTCCTTAGACTGTAAAATCCCCAAAATGAGCTTGCATCATCACAAGAGCTCCTATTGCAGGCACCAAAAAGCTGGTCTCAATTAATTCATAAGCATTGGCAATACTGTAGTTAGGACAAATGGTTGTATCTTCGGTAGTCAGGGGATAATACAGTCCTCAGATTAGATGCATTTTACCTATTTTAAATGTCACAATGATCAACTAGTGGTACATCTTTTAATGCTTTTATAATTCATTTAACAGAGGTGGCGTATATACTCCAGGAGCTGCTTTCTCTAAAACAAAACTGATTGATCGGCTCAACAAACATGGCATTGAATTCTCTGTTATTAGCAAGTCAGAAGCCTGAAGTTTCAAAATAATTCCAAGAAAAACTACAATTGCATGAACTAATGTACCAAGAGCTTACTCAGATGTAAAACCTAATAACATTTACAAATCAGTTGTATTGTTGCTAACAATGGTATTAAATGGATTATAGCATTTTGTGTAGTCATTAGTGAACCAGCTGATGCAAAGAGATTAACACCACCTCATGCTTTAGGAGTATTAGAGGAAATTACTGCTTCAGCATCTATTTAGATGCCAAAAATTATAATCTTGTATAAATATGAGCTGAATGGGATGCATGTGTGTGTTTTAGGTCTGATCATCTATAGAATTTTAATAGGTATTAAAACTCCAGAATGGTAGATTGCGGGCAGTAGTTGGAGAGCTTTTCAGCTAGCATAACAGGTTCTAAACATCAATTTGTCAGTCAAAGGATTTAACTCCATTTACCACTGAAGGGCCTGGATAACAAGTGCCTTAGCTAATCAAGCCATTATTTAGGACTATTTAGGGGAAGGGACCACTTATTTGTGCTGGGGTCATTTTGTATGATTTGGTACTCATAAAAACAAGACATGCTTCAATTTCTTGTAATTCTCAGTAACTTGCTGTAATGGGCTTTACGGTAGGAAAATCCAACTCCTTATTTCTAGGAGTTACACTGAAAAACAAGAACATATTAGGAGTAGATGGAGCAATTAAGATAAAGACAGTTAATACAGGTCAAACAAAGCTAACAAATTAACTTACATGTTATGTAAGTGCAGAAGCTATCAGGATAGGTGCTTCATGCTATAAATCTTATTCATGTGATTCTAGAGATGTGGAGGGAAATACTTTTGTAAGTTGAATTTCAGATTTAGTATGACAAGCAAGCAGCTTTGGTCCGTCTTTGTGTATGGTACAGTATATGACCTACAGCACTTAAAATTACCACATATTCTAAAATTGAAGTCTCTACAAATTATCTGGGTAATTAACAAGAAAGCTGAGCTGCTTGGTCTTCCACCAAGTACCAATTAAAGCATAAATAGTTAGGCTTAGCTTAAGGTTGTGGTTTGGCTATCCACCTACAATTGGCACACTGCAACGATTAATGATTAAGTAACTAAGTCACTGTTGCTCAAGAATTACTTAAGCCATGCTTTCTCTCTTCTTTTTAACTATAAGAGCAACATCATTTTTCAATCTGCATATGCTAGATTCAAGCTGCTCCCCAAAATCCTTCAACATATATGATTGTGTCTCTGTAAAAAGATGTAGCATCTGCAGGTTATCTTCTTCCTGCAAAAGACCAATAAAATTAATGAGTATATATTGGACTCAGTGTGCATGCTATTTTATACATCTTTTCCTTATGGATGTCTTAGAGTGGCAAGGTGGCGATTAAAGCAGGAACTAAAAAATAGAAGGTAATAGTTGAAGTTGAAAGAACAATAAATTCTCTCTAAAGCAGAAATGATGGGACAAATCACAGTTAAATTGAAAACTAGATGTGGATTCATAGATCAGGTAGCTGAGTTGGGAAAGGGAAGGAGGAGAGCAGAACAGGTCCTCAAGCTAGAATCAGCAGCAGTCAGTCATGTGGGGAAGATATGCAATGCTTTTCACCTCTCCAAAGATCTCCAAATTGCACTACTTTCACACCTCCTCCCCCAAATAGGGATCAGTTTATACACACAAATTGATAGCAGTGATGTAGAGCAAGTGCATTTCTACTAGTTCTTTATGGCCAAAATAGGTTCCTAACAAATACATTTAATATCCTAGCACCTACCAACTTGTTTCTACAAGAAATAAAAAAAAAATCCCACTCATTTGGTCAAAATAGGTACAGACTGGTGTGTATATTTTCCTTTGGTACTTAGTCACTTGGGTACTAACGACCCAACAACTTCTGTGCACTGGGTTTTGAAAACAGCCTGTACTATAGACCAGTTCAGTTTTGCTTGTCTTTTGCAAGGATCTTGTGACTGTTTTCCCCTAATAAATTTTTATTCTACAAGCAGAAAAGGTTAAATGACTCCTTTTTACAATGTCTGTTCCTACAGAACAAAGTTTAAAATGGAGAAGTGATAACAATTGGCTTTATTATGGTGCCAACCCCACTACCAAAGGCTCCTGTACATGGATATAAGAAGAATAGTTTTCCATATAGCAATACACATTTAATTCCTATTATACAAAATGCCTACTTCTTCTGAACTCTGTATCCTAGTCCTCAGCATTTCAGCAACTGTAATTTAAAAAACAAAATGAAATTGCAGCTCCTTCTGCAGGTACAGCACTGAGGATTAGGATCAAATGTAAGAGAAATTACTGACAGTGATTTGCAAGGAGTTGAACTAGTAACAGGCTGGTAGTTGCTACCTGTGTTTTGTCCTCTTAGAGTTTGGTGTTCTTGCTTCATAACGTATAACAAAGGTCTAAAAGATTTCTTACGTTAGATGTAAGATCTTGTCTACCCCGTAAGACACTATGGGTGATGGAAGTTACAACATTCAATACAAAAAAAGGAAAATTTTCTTTCAATAGTTTAATTTTTTTTCTTAATGACTATTTAATGCTAAAGACCTACAACCAGAGGAAGACAAAGATTTTTCCTCAGTTCAGATTTGAACAAACTTAATCTGATGCGCCTTTCCATCCTCAACAACTAAAGTCCTTAACAGTCTATTTTTTAATGTAAATATGTGCAAAAAAAAAAAAAATCAAAGTAGCAAAAAAGGCCCCAACCCCCTCCTACCCATTTCAGGTCACCCCAAGTTTTACTCCTAATGTTGTGCTGAAGTACAGTGCATGTAAAATGAATAATTACTGAGTCACAACGAAGTGAAATGAGTTTGCTTACTCACACCTAGAGTAGCCCTGAATCTTGATTAAGCTGCTGTAAGGTATGCAGTGTAGACAGAGCCTGAGAGGCCAGAGCAAGTAGTGATCTACCTATCTCTGTCTTCAACCTTGTGATAACACAGAAATCATATTCCCCTCCCCCATTTACCTACAGAGAACCCTATAGTTGCTATTGAAGTTGTGGGCAAGATGTGATGTACACATAACTAGTTATGAAGGACTGAGAAGGAGCAACCAAACAAGGTTAACTGAGCAGATTGGTAGCAGCCTGAGGGAATGCACACTGCATCTAAGCATTACTGTAGGCAAAGTAAGACAGCTACAAACCTGTGGTTGGCAAGGAGCTGGGGGTTGTGGGCCCTTGAGTGGAGCTTGGGCGAGTGAGCAGTAACAGCAGTTGTGGCCTTGATAAGGGAGAGGAGGAGCAGGTCAGGGAAGCCTAGAAGCACCAAGCAAGCACTGTTGGTAGCAGCTGCCATTTACAGAAACAGCATAAAAGACAAGATGCAAAAAAGCAGTTGATCCTGCAAATTGCCCGTTTTCAAGTAGCCTCCAGGCTATCAGCTATAGTCTAACAGCAGTGTTATGCCACACAATCAAAGAGACTGACTTTTAATAGGGGACTGACCCATTTTGGAGTTTTTCTATGTAGAAATATTTTTCTTCCACAATTAGGGTACTCGGGGGATGTAATGAGGCTTTAGTGAAACAAGCCAGGAAAACCACAACATGGAGATTTTTCTGCAGGGGCATCTTTCTAGGAGCTGGAACTAGAAACTGGTGCATGTCCTTTCTTATGAACAACATCATAGAAATGTAGGTTTGGAAGGGACCTTGAGAGGTCATCAAGTCCAGCCCCTTGTGCTGAGGCAGGATCAAGAAAACCTAGACCATCCCGGACAGGCATTTGTCCAACCTGTTCTTAAAAACCTCCAATGATGGGGATTCCTTTGGAATCCTATTCCAGAGCTTAACTACCCTCATAGTTAAAAGTTTTTCCTAAATCTCCCTTGCTGCAGATTAAGCCCATTGCTTTTTGTCCTACCAACAACTGATCACAGTTCTCTTTATAACAGCCCTTAACATATTTGAAGACTTACCAGGTCCCCCCAGTCTTCTTTTCTCAAGAATAAGACTTGTGAGCCTAAGGTATTGACATCCTTCTGTACTGCTGGCTGGGATAATACACTAATTTTCCATTAGACAAGTAAGTGCTTAGCTCCTTGCATTTGAAGCATGAACAGCGCATGGCTTTACACTGTTAGAATACCCAGCATGTTATAAGATATCTACACTTTGTGGACCTTGATATTGATAGTACAGCCACACAAAACCCATGGAGGACAGGAAGTTGGTTCCAGTTTCAACTATTACCTTCAAATATAGGAAGGGAACAACAGCAAAGGACAAGATCAGTTGTATCTTCATTCTTAGGTAGTCAAAGCGAGGTATACACAATGGTTTTAAGTCATAAAAGAGTCCTGGTTCTCATTTTTGAAAACTGCATAAAAATCATACATACAGGGGGTTTGCTGTGCTTCAGCTTCAGGAATTGCCCTCTCACTATGTTCATGTTTTGGTAGAAGACCTTAAGAGCTTTAGCAAAATCAGCATCATAGCTGGTCCGATGGTTGCACATCTGGTCAGCTTCCTTTGATGAGAGAGGCTGTTTGGTCATCTTAATTGCCCTTTTATTAGGGGACTTTAATTTCTTACCTAGAATGCAAAACAGGAGGGATTTTATTAGTTACTAATAAAATAAAACCTAGACTGACAGAGACAAAATATTTTGTTCTGCATTTTTATATCGTCATTAGATGAAAGTGATGAAATTTCATCCGTATTTTTGTCTCTAAAGAGAGAATAAAGTTCAGTGGCATATAAACAAACTCTCAGCACCAACTGTTCCAGGAGGCTCTAACCACAGTACACCTTAACCATAACAGAAGCATGTAATTTTATGGCATGGTTTGTGTTTTGCACTGACTTTCATGGTGTCCTGGCTCCCATTTCTTCAGTTTATCTTTAAGAAATACATTTTCTTCCCTTAAAGCTCTGTTAATATCTCTGAGAAGTTCAGTCTCCTCTTCCAACTTCAGCAGCTTCAGGTAAAGATCAGATATCTGGTTAGTTGTGCTCTATAAAAGAAAACATTAAGGTATCAATACCAAGATGGATTTTTAGCTATCAAGGCCTTCTACAGATGGATGTAAGGTTTTAATGGAATCATGACCTCCCCCCCATGGAAGCAGTTATGTACCACACACAGTGTTCACACTATTGTGCAAACTAAGTTTGAGGAGCAATTTATACTTCAATCCACTGATCAGAAATGTCATAGCATATTAATATTTATTCTTTGCTTGATGTGCCACCACTATGATATGTAGGGCCCGTGTACAAATTTTACAGTCGCACCATATCTGCCCATACAAAATCTTAATCACCACTCTTTGATTCAGCCGTTCGCTCTCTTTCAATGCAAGATTATTTTTAAAAATCAGTGTCATTTGACCAAGAGAAATTAGACCAGATCTTAGCAGGATAAAGACTGTCTTTTGCAAGTGTGTACAGAAATACTGGCTATCTAAGAGTGACTACAGTATGAAAGGTAGAAAGAGAAGCATTTAAATAGGAACTTCATAGGAACTTCAATGGTTTGTTTTTTAACTAATTAGGGACTATGTGACATCAATTTACCTTTTTAGAAAATCAGATGCTGCAGGTCCTGCATTTAATGATCCAGAGGAAGCAAGATAGCAAATGCTCTTATTGGAAAACAATGTGCCATCCTAAATAAATTCAAATTAATTGACAGCAGAAAATAAAGAACAGGTCTGTGTACAGCAAAGCACCTGTATGATTTACAGTTCTGTTACTTGGTCTACAGGGACGCTCACTTGCCTTTCATTTATTAACACTCTATGGATAATGATGCTGACCTCTTTCTAAAGTGCTTTGAGAGCTGATGAGAAGTGATATGTAAGAGCTAGATATTTATTATTATTCAAGTGGTCATTCATTTTCTTTAAAATGTAACTCAAACTGTTAATTTCTCCAGTTGAAATGATCATAAATGACGAGCTAAAATAACTATTTTGCAACCAGTTCATTTCAATGAGATTTTTATTAGCATAACAGGCTACACAAGTGTTACCAAAGTGTAAAGAAGAAGAGTCAGACCAGATTCTCAACTGCTCCAATGTCCTCTGAGGTTGCTAATAGTAGTGGCCAGAAGGGTGCTACGCTGCCTGTAGGAATTCTGAGGTCATGCTTGTTTCCTTCTGGAACGTACAGGTCATGGGACTCCAGGGTAGCCCTGGAGACCTTTCATGAATGGAGTGTCTCATCAGTCTTTGAATCAAAAAGTGAATTGCCTTCAAAGGGAAGGTCCTCAAGGGTGACGTGGACCTCCCTGGGCACTCTCGATACCTGGAACCAGGACGATCTCTTCATTGCCACAGATGTAGCCATGGTGCGTGCCACCGTATCCGACGTGTCAAGTGCTGTTTGTAGGGAAGTACGAGTTATCAGTGTCCCTCATTCAATATAGATTTTAACTAATTCCTATGTTCAGGAGTAACCCTGTCCATAATTTGAGACAACATGTCCCAGTGTAAATACGTTTTGTGAGAAAGGTTTGGTAATTAGCTACTTACATCTGGAGGCTGGGTGACTAATAAGCTTTATGTTGATGTACATCCAACTTTTTGGGGTTTTTCTCCTATGTGTTGATTTGAGGGGGCCCTTGTGGTTTGGACTTCTCCTGGACAGTTGCTACAAGAGATTCTGGTACTGGGTGAGAATAAATGTATTCCAAGCCCTTGGCAGAGACTTGGCCTGTCTACATGCTTGGATATAGCTAGAATCTATGCTGAAGTCTGCCACGGTCTTTTGCAGGCTCCAGCAGCCCCTGATTTATAGGCATGGCAAGGTGCAAAAAGCCCAGCAGTTTGTGATTTCCCTTGCACCACCTCCAATGATATGTTAAAAGACCTTGTGATGTATTTAATAAGATCCAGGAACACCTTAGAAAGTGCCAACTGGAGAAGAGGACAAGGGGTTCACTGCCACATTGGGAAAGATGAGGAAATTGCAGCTGGGATTTGTTCTTTGACGGGTTGCAGACATGTAATCCACTCAGCACATGGAAGCAGACGTGCACAAGCCCAGCACACTGAAGCTGGAGAACTTTGCCTAGCAGTACCTGTAGGAGTGGCACTCGCGCTCTGTGGCCTTTACCCCTTCTTCGGCTATTTAAGGGCAGTGCCACCCCAATGTCCCTCCCCTGTTCTTTCTCATCCCCTGGAGCTGGAATCAGAGCATTCTGTGTGGTATCTACCCCAAGCTTTTCTATCTCAGATTTTGTTGTACATAGCTGAAAGTTATTTAGCTTAGTACTACCTTAGGTTTAGTGCTAGTAATTAGTTAGGATAGATTGTTTTCCTGGTGCAATACCTTCTCCAGAGTTTTAACATTGTTCATTCCCAATATGACCCTCCACATGGTGCCTGCGGTGCTTGGGAGAAGTGCACATTAAAGAAATGTGCTCCATCTGCTCATCAATCAAGAAAAAAAAACAGGTGGTAAGGGACTTGCACTTCAAGCAGCACCTTATGGAGCAGGCCATGAGACCCCTACAATGCCGGGGACCTCCAGGTCTGTCCGGCCCCTCAGACAAGTTCAGAACCGAAGTGAGCGGATGTTCCTCAGCCAGACTCTGATGCCTTCCCCAGGAGGGAGACAGGATCATTCTCCTTCCTCTGGTCCTCCAAGGAAAAGGCCTCACAAAATGGACTGCAACCACTCCAGAGCTCAAGAAGATTCTGCCTCCTCTTCCAGGAGTGCAGACTGATCCCGTGATTCTTCTGGTACACAGGATGGAGCTGGAGCATTTACCCACTCTCAGGTACTGAGGTGGCATCAATTGGAAACTGTAACAAACTCCGGTACCGTCCATGGGATGCCCGTTGAGTCCAGTACCGATGACATCAGCCCTAGTTCTTCCCACACTATTGCCATAGTAGGCAGTATCAGACTTGCCTTGCCTCTCTGTTCCTGACTCCCCAGTTATTCAGGAGCATTCAGCTGATGGGATGACTTCTGTGTGGTCCTCAGTGCTGCCAGGATTGATTGCAGACTTGTCTCAACTGTCTGCACCATCATCTGTATCGTATAAGGCTCAGAGTGGGCAGCCAAGGTTGACCTCCTTATTGGTACAAAGGGGCCCTTTGGCACAATTACTATCTTCAGTACCAATGAGGACTGCAGGGCAGACCATGTCTAGAAGATCAGTAACAACCCAGCCTTCAGTGTTGTCTTCTGTTTTGGTACCAAGTGGGAGTGCGATTCCCCAGTCCTCAAGGCATTGACTTCTGTATCTGCCTTGGTACTGATGCAACAGGGTATTGGGCATCAGATGAGGCTGGATGTTTGCTTGCTCCACATGTGGTGGCTCCCCCATTGCCTTCGGACGACTTGGAGGTTCGTCAGGATTGAGCTCAGTGACATTCTCCTCCTGTACCTTGGCTTTGAGACATCATTATCGTAGATTGTCAAGACCTCCTATGGATCACAATCAGTATTGAGATTGGCACTGCTTCCGCAGTAGGGACAGTAGGGACTCGTGGACCAGTGCCTACTGGCCTATCACCAATGGCCTCCTTGGAATCCAGGGGTCATTCCTTGATCTGAAAATTCCCAATCCTCAGCACACTCCAAGGCAAGGTCATCCAACCAGTCTGTGGTATCCCTCTCCTCAGCCACCTATATTGCAGACTCAGATGGAGGCTGCTTCCTCAGAGCAGGTTCAGCCTAGCCACTTGTGCAGGGACCTGTGCTACCTCAGGAGGTTCCAATGGCTCTGCTTCTTTCATCTCCCTGACACCGAATGAGACTGCAGCACTGGACTCTTCCTTTCCAGGGGCTGAGGATTTTAAGTTGCATCAGGATTTCCTGAAGTGAATGGCTTCAACCTGAGTTTGTGCAGGAACATACCCACAAGCTGGAGGACATTCTGCAATCCTCCCTATAAATGAAGCACTGTTAAAACCCGCAAAGAGTGCTCTAATCTCATCTGGTCCATAACTCTCTTGTAGAACAGCAGCCAATGAGAGATCGTGGCAAGGAAGATATAAGTCCATGCCTAAGGACAAGGATTCTACTCATGGTATTTCCTGATTCGCAAATCCAAGAGAGGAGTGGGACCTGTTCTTGATCTCTGAGGTCTCAAAAGGTACACCAAGTACATGAGATACTGAATGGTGACCCTAGCTACTATCCTACCAGCTTTGAATCGTGACTGGTTTGTTGCTCTTGATCTTCAGGATACTTATTTCCATGAATTTTCGGGAGTATAATGGTATCCTTCATGGAGGGGCCAAGCGGCCAGCTGGCTTATTTTATGAATGGAGGATCACAGCCAGACTTGTTGCTAAAGGCTGGGAGGAGAACTTTGAGTGAGATAAGACATTTTCTTGTCTAATGAAGTTTATGAGTTAAGTTTAGGCTCTAGAATGCATGTTATGATTTTATTTTATATGTAATCATTTGTTTCCAATATTTGTGCTTGCTCTCATTCGAATCTCTGTTCTTTGTTAAATAAAATTCTTGTTTTCACTATAAACAAATCGGAGGCCTTGTCTTCCCTACAAAATTAAGTTGACCTAAGTTAGGTCGACATACAGCCACCGCAGCAATTACTGCCGGGGTTCATGTCCACACTACACATCCTCACCAGGAGTGCTTCCACTGACAGCTATGTGGGGCATTGTGGGACCCTGACTGCTGGAGCCCCCCCGCCCTGAGGCCGACAGCCCAAGCTGTCAGCCCCATGGCCATTGTCATTAAAGGAGTCTACTAATGTATCCCAGATTAAGAATTAGTTGTAGCTAAACTATGTAACAGTGGTGCTTTCTAAAGCATTGTCTGAAGCAGGTCAGCAGCTAGAAGGCTGTGTACTGTAGCTGTTTGATAGAACTCATGAGTGGACAAGATGCGTTAGCTAGGACAGTGATTCTGTGCCGTACATATGGATCACTGCCTCACATGAAATACTGCATACTTCCTGGGCCCCATCCTGCAATCTTGAATTACTGGAGTAGTCCCATTAAGGTCAAAGCACTACCTGCGTAAATAACTACTCAGACCTGGTCTACACTAAAAAAAAAAAAAATTAGGTCAGCTTAACTACGTTGCTCAGGGATGTGGATTTTTCCAACTCCCTGTCAGTGCAGGTAGCGTCTAAGCTGAAGTGCTACAGCAGTGCCGCTGTCGCTGTACAAGTGTAGACAAGCCCTCAGGGAAGTAAAAACTTGCAGGTTCATCAGATCCACTGATTTTACCAAAGAATGTTACTAATAATTTAAGTGGACTCACCAGACCAATATCCTTTGCAATCACAGTTTTTGGATTATCAACTATAATGGCGCCCTCGTTTGTGACCATGTCTTGTAGGGAGTCATCCAATTCAGCGCACCCCTCTGCATTGTGGGAAAGAGAGCCCAGTTAAGACTGTTGTCACACTCCTTCACTACTGTATTTGTGTTGTACATCAATTGAAATATTTAGGGAGAAATAAAAATAACTTCGCTCCAAGCTCTGCCACGTCTCTCTGAATTTACACCAGTAATCTCCATTTTCTCAAACCTGCCTCCAACATATAACATTTGTTTAACAAATCTCACATTATCTGTTTGATTCTTTTAAACACACACATCAACAATTAAACATCTAAAATTTCAGACACCAATTTCACAATTAGCTATGTTAGAGTTCTAAATACATGGGATACTGGGCTGTAAACCTACAGATTTTTAGGCTGTGTCTATACGTACAGTGCTACAGCAGCACAGCTGTACTGATATGGCTACGCCACTGCAGCACATCTGGGGAAGATGCCCTCTCCCATTGGCGTAATAAACCCACCTCTGTAAGCAGCGGAAGCTATGTCAGTGGGAGAAGTTCTCTCGTTGACATAGCGCTGTGCACATGAGCGCTTATGTCAGTGTAACTTATGTCATTCGAGGGATGGTTTTTTCACAAGGAAGATGTATTTGGGGAGATTTGGGACTGGAAAGGCTGTTGGGGTCACCCTCCAAAGAGTAACTAGGCTGGTGAAAGGCTTGTGGGATGGCTACTGGTGCCAGGGAACTGCACAAAACATAGGCCCTCAAGGTTACCGGTCTGTGTAGTCCCCAAAATGTCACAAGAACAGTAAAGATTTTTTTTTTTTGGAAAAATGTTATGAACTTTCATTCCCCTCTCCTGTTACCCATCCTCTTTCTCTGCCCTTTTGTCATCCTTTCTGCCATTGAAAAATAGAAAGCCAGTTAGTCTGGAGCCACAGATGACTGTGAAGGGACATTCATGAAAAATTCATGGAAGCCTGTGTCCTGTTCCTGACTTTTACTAAAAATATCCATGACAAAATGAGGAGCCTGGGCAGCTGCAGGTGGAGCTCCCAGGGCCCCCTGCGGTGGCTAGGAGCAGCAGGGATCCCCCTTGTCGCCCGCGGTGGCCGGGAGCGGCAGTGGATCCGTCTGCCGCTCCCAGCCAGTGCTGGCTGAAGTCACGGAGGTCTTTGAAAGTCACAGAATCCGTGACTAAATCGCAGCCTTAGTAATAAGTAATGCCACAGCACCTGCAGGATGTCCTGACCCGATCTATTATACCTGAGCTAGCAGTGCACTCTAAGCACTCAAACCTCCAAGATTTAGGACCCAATCACACTGCAAAAAGCACTGCTCACTTCTGTGACTATTGGCATCCATGTTCAATCATCTTCTATTTTTAGTATGGACTGAACAACTTACTGGCCATGCAAGGGAACTATACCCATGCTAGGGAACAGTAACTTTGTCTTAGATTATAACACTAGGCCTAGATCAAAACCTAGCGTATAATATATTCCCTAACACAGTCAGGGAACTGTCACTCTGTCCATATGAATGCTAAACAATAATGTAAGAACATGGATGCTCTTAACAATAGTACCAGAGCACGTTTCTACTTTTACTTCTAGCCGGCAAACCAGTCGGACGGGTTGACGCCCCCGTCCTGGCAAGTGTTTGCTGGAAAAAATCGCTAACTCTCATGAAAGTGAATATTGGTATTTACAAGCTGTGGTATTCATGCAGTCACACTACAGACGCTGTTCCTCCCACCCTGAGAGTAAGGACTAATGTCTAATCTAGGACTACACAATATGTTTCTCACCTCTGACAATGACTTGGTGGATGGCCTGGGGCAAGTTACTTAGCCTCTCTGTACTTCAGTGCTCTCACTTGTAAAATGAGGGTAATAATGCTCATCTACCTCACAGGGGTGTTGTGAAACTTATTTCATTAATGTTTCTAAAGCAATAAGATTCTTAAATTTGAGATGCCACAGAGCTATTTAACAGAGGCTGCTTTTAGCATCAAATGATGTAAATGATTAGATCCTTCTAGGCTAGGTTGACACATTCATTCTAAGACGGTTACACCAAGCAAATTCTCATCAGTCTTTCAGTATTTAAATACTGGACTAATATTGAATTAAAGCGTCACAGTAATATAAGTGAGCATGCTCTGTCTTGCCATCCGGCAGTTTTATATTTGAAAAGTAAGCTATAATATGGTTTGATTCTATTTACAACCCGCAGCCATGAAGAACTATGCAAATTAAAAAGAAATATTGTAAAGAAATACCTTGAAGCCCCCACAAGTCAACAATTAAAGCATTTTTTTGTAAATAATTTAAAAATTCGTGGGATGCATTTAGGGCTGAGAAGTGGACTGTCTCTTCAATCTTAGCATTCATGTTTTTCCAGACAGGCTTTGTGTATAGAGAGTGAGGAAGATCATAAACTCTGTACCTAGGGGAATGAAACATTAACATAAAATGTAAATAACTGCCAGTTCAGTATTTGAAAAGGTCAGCTATTTGAACAAAGAAAATGCGAACAAAAGAATTATGGCAACATTTTGAGGTCAGCTGTTCCCTCTTGTTGAATAGAACACTTTGTGCAGGCACACACCAACCACGTTATGTGAAAATATTACTTGATTCATTTTCAGGGTTTATTTTGTTGACTGTAGCAGTTTGTCACTGAACATTTTGTCTCCGTCTAAAAATGCATTTGCTTAAACAGCTTTAATGATACAAGATTTTATTTTGTATTATGAAGCTTAAAGCTTTCTGTCCTCCCAACCCCCACCACTCCACAGGGGTGTTTTGCTCCCATTCACTGAGGAAATTCACCTTTGTTTGGAGCAAATGAGTTCAAATATTCCTGTTCAAGGCAGGGCATGCGCCTATTAACATGTCCTTTAAGAGGACATCTGAGATTTTGAGCCTGTGACATTAAGTAGATCCTGTAGAGATCTAACAGATGATAGTAGCTCATGCAATTTGGAAACTTCTGTTAGGATAACTATGAAACTGCTCTTGCTTTTGCCAATGATTCCAACTGAACATACTGTGAAGGAAGCAGTGAACTAATGAAACCCCTCACCCTATCTGAATGCCCCGTTCGGTGACTTCTCTAAGCCATTTGACTCCAAGGCACTGTAAGATGTGAATCTGGAAATCAATTCTTCTTCCCAGCAATTCCAAAGGGTCAATGACCATATCATCTTCTCCGAAGGCTCTAAAAATGTAGGAATAAGGATATAACATGTCAAACCTGGCTCAGCTTTCACAGCAAATATATGACAGTGACATTAGTGAATGAATCAGGTCAGTGAGGAGGAGGCTGGGAACAGAGGAGAGGACAGCTGTTTACACACAAATATTCTGGTAACCACCTATGATAGGAAAGGAAACCATTTGGAAGGGACTGTATATTACAAATCTAGCTCATTTCCTTTGCTACTGGAACTCCAAGACAAGATTAGGAGATAGGCCTGGTATCCTTTGAAGGAGTGAGAGATACAGGGATTAGGAGAAAACAAAGAGGGGGAAGGGAAGTGCAACAAGATCCTTGAAAGACAGACACAGTATAGACCAAAAAAGCAGAAAGTATAGAGGCAGGGAGGAGAAATGAGCACACAACAAATACCTTCCAAAAATATTTTTCCACCCTGTCTTTACAAACAAGTTCCTTAATTCAGTGGATTACAACTAAACTAAAAGGTATTTGTTTAACCCCAACCTTCTCAAGCTATAAAGCTTTCGGGTGGTACAAAGCGAGGCTGAACCATGAAAGCAGACACAAGTTAGCTGAGTACACTTTGAAGTGTAGTAAACTAACGCACACAAAGGCACTTTGTAAGAGTAAGGGTATGTCTACACTGGAAACTTCAAAGCGCTGCCGTGGGAGGCTGCCGCGGGAATGCTCCTGCAGCAGCGCTTTGAAGTGTGAGTGTGGGTCGCAAACGAGCCCTGGGAGAGAGCTCTCCCAGCGCTCTTGTTAATCCACCTCCACGAAGGATTAGCTCCGAGCGCTGGGAGTGCGGCTGCCAGTGCTCAGAGCCTGTCTACACTAGCACTTTAAGGCGCTCAGACTTGCTGTGCTCAGGGGGTGATTTTTCACACCCCTGAGCCAGCAAGTTAGAGCGCTATAAAATGTAAGTGTAGACAAGCCCTAAGAGAGCCCACATGGGGAGTTAGATTAATTAGTGGCTGTAAATTCACACCTTAACTTGCTGTGCACTAACTTCCCAAGTAGACAAGCCCTGGAAGTAAGATTCTGCATTAATACTGACTCTCTTTTCCCCTTACTGGCCCTGGAATATAAACATAACTTGATATCTAGTGTAGACGGGGTTTAATGCCTTTACAAATGTGTTAGCTGGTCAAGGTCTACACTCGGGGCTAAGTGGTGTTTAAAATCGTGCTAATTAAAACATATTACCAACACAATATTTTTTTTTTAAACACTACTTCTTCCCCAGTCTAGAAAGGATCACCACCTGCTGCTCCCACTACTCTAAGCATTCCAAGTCAATTTGTGGTTTGGTCTGGCCTTCCGTGTGTTTAACAACCTTCAGTTATGGTGATGGCAAATTTGCTTACAAATAAACTTCAAACATCAGATAAAGCTGCTGTTCATGGGGCGGGGCTCTAAATTTAGTTGGTCACATGATTTTTTGGAAACCCTTACTGTCCTTGACCTACAACTACCCAGAAGTGTCACTGATTGAAAACTGACTAAAGCGTCACCTCTGTGGTAAAACCAGCTCTGCTTCTTACAGAGCAGAGCTACACACACCACAGCTTGAGAACCACTGGTGCAAAACATTTGTGTTTATTGTCTCTTTATTCCCTCAAACCTGTTTTATCTGGAGCATCACCAGTGCCTTCTCCCACACACTACTACTGCCTCCAAAGCTTCCCTACCTAAACATTTCCGAGACAGCTGAGCTCAGTGGCATACTACCTCAGTACTTAGGGTGCTTTGTAATCGTTATTCAGTAGCTGGTAAAGTGTGACCGAAGATAATGGGTAGTTATTCGTTATACGCTTTGTTCCTCTTTCCCAGAAGATCGAACAAAACTTCACATATTTTCAATTTTAAAGTCTCCCAGTAAGGCCCTTCCTTGCACAACCCATCTCCATCTGGCAAAGAAGTCTGGCAGCAGCTCCCTCTAGCGTTCATCAGTGTGGTTCTTTTACTTAGCTCGGGTAGGATCCTGGTAACAACTCAAGGGACTTCACCTTCCCAAGGGCTGAGCAGCTGTCATTGTAGCACCCAGGGAGATCAGGACGGACCTGGACATCAACAGTATTGTCACATGGCATATTTTCCCCATGTGCTAATGTCTTTGGGTCAAATCTGCTCCTGTTTATACCTGTGCAAACCTGTTCGAATTTCACATGGCCTTTATATTTTCCTCCATGTGTTTAGCCTCCATCTCCTACCAGACATATCACCCTGTGAAATTCCTGAATTGGATTTTTTTTTTAAAGTGATCTTAGATAGGAGCTAGTTCAAATAAGGAAAAGGCAAACCTTTACCTTCCATCACTGGAACACGGAGCTATATTTAGAAGTAGAATAGCTTCCTCCATTCCTTCAGAATTCAGAACTTCTGTTTGTTCTTCCAGCTTCATGCAGTAAGCAAGTGACTGAAGCCAAATGTGAGCAGATCCTAAATGAATGACCTCAACAGGATCCCAGAATGGGTCATGGTCTTGGCCCACATACACATCCTCTCCATCTAAAAAATGCTGGTAAACCTCCTCCATTAGGAATTTCCTGTTGATGAACTTGGCCTTAGACCACACCCACACCTAGAGATGCATAGGAAAGATGATACAATGACTGGTCATGGGTAGGGTCCTACCAAATCCACAGTCCATTATGATCAATTTCACGGCCATAGGATTTGAAAATTGGTAAATTTCACATTTTCAGCTGTTTAAATCTGAAATGTCATGGTGTTGTAACCGTGGGGGTGGTCACAAAGCTGTTGTAGGGAGGTCATGGGATTGCCACCCTCACTTCTGTGCTGCCTTCTGAGCTGGACTCTGAAGGCAGCAACTACAGAGCTTCCTGCAGCCGCAGCAGGTTCCCAGAGGTGGACGTGGGTCTGATCTCCCCCATGCTGCTGGGAACGCCCCAGCCAGGGGCTCCTAGCTGCTAGTCCTGGCTGGCTTGGGAGGGACAAGACTTTCTCTTCCTCTGCACGGCTGCTCTTGGGTACCTCTGCAGAAAGCTCCGCACCCCACCCCCCAACTCACTTCTTGCTCCCATCGCTCTGCAGCTGCAGGGGGAGAGGTACAGGATGCGCTTCCCCTCCCACCCACTTCCAGATGCAATTATTAGCTTGTTTCAGTAAGATAAAGAAAGGTCATGTGAACGTGACAGGATTTATTGATTGTTGCTTTACAGCAGCAAACACCACCCAAAGCTCAACTCCCTGATTGGCAGATATGGGCATCAGAGAGTTTTGTAGGGTAGTGATCTCAATTGGTAGCCTCAAATGCGTGAACCATTCCTTTAAGTTAACAAAAACAAGTGAAAAAAAAAAGTTCTGGTTTCAAATGTCATTAATTGAATGTCAGCCTGGAGCATCCAGCAACTGTGTCTTTCTTCATTCCCTGTCCCTATGCTGAACACACCTGTCCGTGTTTAGACACTGCTCTCTTTGCATCCACGGAGTTGGTTGGAATTGTCAGACAGCGCCGGGCCAGCCTTGCAAGACGGGGGATTGTGCCTTTCACTGAGTTCCAAAACTGCATCACAGGCAAACTACAGTCTGCTTCTTTCACAATATTTTTGTAAGCAGGCATCTCCAGCCTACAATTCTTATCAAAATCAGGACTGCATGAAGTGAGCTGAAATCCACCAGCAACAGGTGCATTTGTGCAGGGTCAAAAATATACACTGCTTTTAAGAACCTTGCTGCAGATTGTTGAAACTTTTGAGACGTTTTTGCTACATCGCTTGACTCTTCCCCATAGCAGTAGTATTGTCTGAGCTTCTTTGCCATGCAAAAAACACCTGCTGAGCACTGGCATTTAACTCAGCATTGTCAGAGTGGTTTTTGTTTGACTGTGCTCCAGCCCAGAACAGTACGTCCATTACTTTGTGGTACCCTTGGTGGTTCTGACATGTCAAGATTCAAACCAAGTGATTAAGTCCATGAGTCCTGTGGCATTTTTAGCAACAAACTGAACTTCCTCATTCAGCTGATCATCATTTAGAAGGGTTGATAGTTCTGTTAAAACCTGTTTTCAGTGTCAGTGTCAGCTCTTCTGAGACGAACTCAGAGTAGTACTTCAGGTGAGCTGCATGGTATTATACAGGCCAAAACCAGGAATTCCAACAAGTAATTCTGGCTCTGGGGGAAGTGCAATTTTGTGTTTCTGACTTTCAGTCATTTCAGTCATGTTTGCAATGTGCTGCCTGTATCGAAGTTTGCGGCTAGGGCAGTGTTAAAAGATCTTTTAATGTAGCTGACCAGTTATCAACTTTACCAAACATCTCCACAGCTCACTGACAAGAGAAATTACATGTAATATGGACAGCATTTGACATTAGACCTTGCAGAACCCATTTTAAAGATTTCATCATGTAAGTTGCATTGTCACTTATGAAAGCAGATACTTTGTCAAAGTTCACACTGTATTTTGAAACGGTTTTAATTACCGCTTGAGAAACTGTAGTGTCAACAGCATCCAAATAGATGCAGTCGGTGGGCACTGTTAGTTTTCCTATCTGTACATCTTCAGCCTTGTCAGAAATAAAATCAAACAGAACATGCAGTACATAGTTGTCTTGCTCGTCTGTAGACTCATTCAAAATAATTGCAAGAGACTCACATGAGTTAATTTGAGACTTTATCTCCTCAAAATGTGTAGCAAAAACCTTTGGTAGGTAGTTCTGTCGTAGCTTATTCGCACTTGGTAAGCAACTAGCATTTTGTACATTCTGTTGAATGAACTCATGCAGCTTTGGGAGATCAAGTTTTTCCAGTGCTATATTAGCACTTGCAAACGCAGCCACAAGTTCCATTCTAGCTAAATAACCGGTCTCAGAGCTCTCTGTCGTCTTCTTAAAAAGAGAAGAAATCATTGGTTTTTTAAAACTTTTTGTTATAGCTGTTCTAGCGGGGTCATGCAGCCCTCTTTTTGCTTTGATGGGTTTCTGAGTCTAAGTGGCACTGACCCATTGCCCGACGTGTGTGATCCAATGAAACACCGCAGCTTGTACAAAATAGATTGTCACCACTGACATGTAGAATTTGGCTTCCAAATTCTTTCACACGATCCGCTGCAGTAATCATTTTTGAGGTTTCTGATTTACTTTGCACACTCATTTTACAGTAATTCCACATGTCTTCTGGTAGGCAGTCAATTGAGATCACTACACTACAAAACCTATCCAATGTCCATATCTACCAGTCAGTGAGTTGAGCCCTGAGTGTGATTTGCTGCTGTAAAGTGTCAATCAAAAAATTCTGTCAAGTACCTCACCTTTCTTTCTATTTTTATTGAAATAGGATAATAACTACAAGAGGAAGTGGGGGCAGTTCTCTGTACAATGTCCCCTCCTCAGGCAGCTACAAAGGAGTGGGGGGGACAGGAAGCGAGTGGAGGAGGAGGAGGTCTGGAGCTATCTGCAGCCGAGAGAGATACCCAAGAGTAGCCCTGAAGGGAAAGAGCAAGTCCTGTCCTGCCCCAGCCCTGCCCGGACTAGCAGCTAGGGCTCCCAGAAGCACAGGGAAGATCCGATCCAACTCCACAAGCCTCCTCCACTACAGGAGCTTCTGGGGCTGCTTCCCAGTCCCAGAGAGCGTCCTGCAGCAGGACAAGGCACCCAGAGGTGGGTCTGGTCTCTTTCCCCCGCCCCTCCCAAGCAGCTGTACAGGAGATGTACAAGTCCTGTCCCTCCCCTGCCCAGCCGGAGCTAGGAGCCCCTTTTGCTGGGGCGCTCCCAGCAGCACAGGGAAGATTGGACACAACTCCACAAGTCTCCTCCAGCTGCAGGAACCTTTGGGTTGCTGCCCAGTCCCAGAGAGCATCCTGGAGGTGGGACAGGTCTGGTCTCCCCCTCCCAAGCAACTGGAGCTAGGAGCCACCTTTGCTGGGGCACTCCTAGGAACAGGGGACATCGGATTTCACGGGGAAGATCTTATTTCATGTCCCGTGAAGCATTTTTCATGGCCGTGAAATTGGTAGGGCCCTAGTCATGGGGTTCTCACTTTGGTGCACTCAGATTTGCCAGATTCTTCAGTTAGCTTTACTAGTGACTATGTGCAACCCATAGGATGAACACCAGTAAGAGAAAGAGGACCTACAGTTAAGTGCACCAATTCAGTCCTTTAGTATCTACAGTGATACACACACTCTGGATACCTTTCTAGCATTTAAATAGAACACTCCTGTGATCCCATCATTCCACATGCAGAGAAACAAGATGTTTTTGAAGGCAAGTAGAAAGCAACACAACCTGTTTAAACCCCGGCACCAGAGGCATGCCCCAGTACCAGGGGAGGGACGGAGAGAGTATGGAGAGGTGTCATGGTCCTAACCTATAACTAACTAAATTACTAGAACTACTACCCTATGAAACTATTGACAATGAAGGAACAGTGGAAACCACTAAAAGCACTTTGCTCAAGGCAAAGGGGGGAAGTTCTAACAGCCGCACGGGCGGTAAGGAGGAACTGAGGAGTGCAAGCTCGGCGGGAGCCCCTTACACAGGTGCTATGGGGGTGCTGGTGCCGAGCCTAGGCATACCACCAGGGGAAAAATCTCCGACATCTGTTCTCAGGGTGCTAAATCGGAATGGACGTGTGCAATCACTCAAAGAACAACCAGGGACACTGTGTAGGGGTGGGAGAAGTTAGGTGAGTGTACAAATAAGAGAAAAAGCTGTAGGGGGGCTGAGAAAGCTCCTTGTTTGTGACAGAGGGAGAGCAGAGCTTATTGTAGCTTACATTACAGTAAATGTCATGTGTAGCTTGCGTCTTATTGATGCTCTCCAGTGAACGCTGCTACCAGCACAAGACTATGATTAATGGCTCAGCTTCTTTACCTGGTTAGTCATTTTGTTAGTCACTTTTACTATTACTTCCTTTTGCAGATCATAACCTCTGGAGTCAGATGATGCTAGATTTTTCACTTTCAATTCCAACTTGAGCTCCTGTGAAGGAAAAAAGAATGTTTCTCAAGAGAATATAACATAGCACATTAGTATCCAAGTGCGGATTTAGCTAACCTTCATGAGACTATGTCACAATATGGTGCCACAAAGGGCTAATATATTGAAGGATTACTATTAGAAGTTTTATTGGGTAGCATATCTTAAATACATTTACGGGAGACAGAAGTTAGAGAAATTCTAACAATGGATTAACTCTCAACATCTGGAAGTTTAGTTCCCCTTCCCAGGGGAACTGCGGCATCTCCAACTTTAGAAATTTATCCAGATGTTGAAGACACCTCCTCATCACTTACTGCCACTCTGCTGTGTACTGCAGGCAGCCATTTTAGATCCTCCTTTTATAGTGTAGCACATGAGTCATTGTCACCACTAGAGAGAAATCTGGTACTAACAAAGGAGTGGGTTTTGACCTTCCAATGAGTCATCCAACTAGCTCAAGTTCCTTCCTTTTGATGACTCTCTCCCCCCAACCTCACCGTCATAGGCCCTTAATCTTGGGTACAAACATTTGTCCCCTCTCAGATGCTAGTATTCAAATGGAAAGCCTAGTAAAATAGCTTTCCCTCACTCCTCTAATAACCAGAGGGAGGCTCAGGAGCTTCTAGGTCCCTCACTTGATGGAAGAAGAAAAAAAAAAAACGAATAGGCTACTCCAGTGCTGAAGGTAAAGCTTGCCTGCTTTGGCACTTAATCCCCCAGCGACAGTGAGATTTCACCCAGTGAAAATCATGGCCAAGCCGCCATTGGTGCTGGTCACCCCAATGATATCTACAGACAGACAGTGAATTGCTATAGATAAGGAAGGACTATTGGAGAGTGGAGAGACAACATGGTACTTTACTAAACTTGAGGAATGAACCAAGGCTCAGGCTGCTTACTTTATTCAAGTGTGCTGTGAAGAAGCTTCTGAGTAGTGATGGATCAGCAGAGGCAGTGTGGAATTCTTTATATCCAGTCTAAATTTTTCCTTGCTAAATTTCATGTCATTACTCTAACCTTTACCTCCTTACACAACCTAAACAATTCTTCTCCCGTTTTGGTCTTTACACTCCTCAAATACTTGCACTTAGTTTTCTAATCCCCTCCTTAGTAATTGCTTAGCCAGGTTATACAGCACACGACTTTATTTTCTCTAATATCCTGCATGCAAACTGTATTAGAAAAGGCTTTACTGAGTGTACTTAATACAGTTACAAGAAAACAACTGCACAGAGAGATTGACAGAGAAAAAAAATGTAGCTTAACTCTCTCCCCTGCCTGTCAGAGAGCTAGGAAGATGGGAGAAAGAGGAAAGAACAGAACACTGGTGGGGTGAAAGTGCTAAAAAACTCGCACACTATTTGTCTGCAGTGTTCCAAAGGCTAATATATTAGTTTAAAAGAAAACTACAGTAGCTGGGGAGGAAAAGTGTATACTGCTGCTTACCTTTTTCAACTCCTCACTCATCTGATTTGCTTCTGCAACCAAAGGCATTAGCTTGATATAATCATGGAATACTGCAAGAACACTAGGATCTGGTTTGCCATCCTTATTATTGACAATTCCTTTAAGAAATGCAACATTCAATGTTAAACAGAGGAAGACAATCCATTTTCAGGAAGAGTTTAAACTAGGGTTACTTATGGATGGCAAATACTATCAGCTATATACAGGTATATGTATATATGTATGCATGCAATATTCCCCAGAAACTTTTACATATTTTAATATGTACTCAAAATTTGATATGGTATCAATGGCACAGCCATTCACAAGTCAGTTGGTCCTCATGTTCTTGCTAGAGATTAGTCACAGCTAAAAAGTCTGGACCTAGGATTTAGATTTTAAACACAAGAAGTCTGGATGTATGTTTGGATCTGGAGTTTTGGTTCAGCCCATTATGAAGATTTGCAAAATTTGACTATGGAGTTGGGTACAGTTTTCCAGCTTCCCTAAATTTTATAGGTGTTACTCTTCAGAAATATTTTTGGTTTATTATCTGTTGGAGAGAGGCAGTGATAGTAGTATTAATATACTTATCTCCCAAATAATTTTACAACTGTATGGAATCACTACACTTTTCTCTGGAAAGGAGCCACCTCACATGTGAAACATAGCAGCTGTTCAATAACAGACAGCAACCTGACAATTGTTTAGCACATGGAGTCATGTACACCAGTGTATTTGACTGAAACTACAGGGAGCCATTTCTTTAAGAATGGTAAATTCCTACATTTACAAGTGCTTCTCAGGATTTCTCTGTTCTAATATCCACAAACCAAACATTTTACCTTTGGGACTGAAAAAAAAAAAGTGTGAAGAGAAAAAAAAAAAAAAAAAAAGTACGAAAATTTCATTTTAAGGAAAGACCTTTTGCAGTGTGATCTCCTAGATGCACTGCGAGACAAATGTAGTTATATAAGAAAGTGGGGGCAAGAAGAGGAAGAGCAAATTTTAGATGAGCAGTGGGAGCTATTTGGAGAAGACCAGGGAATAATTCCATTTCGGTAACAATATAAGAAAGTTACTATCAAGTTTTGTACCAGTGGTACCCAACTCAGTAAGAATTGAAACAGTTTATCAAAACTAAGTGCAGCTGATTGCTGGAGGAGTAGTGGAGCAAGGGGAAAGGTAGAGCACTTCTGGTGCTCCTGCCCACACAAAGCCTTCTGGAAGAGAGCTATAGAAGAACACACATCATGGATTGCTCACTTGACAATCTTGACCTCTCAGCAAGCAATCTTGTGTGGACTTCTAGTCTGGGGTGTTTATGTTATTAAAAATAAACTGATCTAATTTCTTATGCCATGTCTGCACTGCAGCTGTGCTGATGTAGCATAGTTGATTCCTACATCGAAGGAAGGGGTTTTTCCATGTAGGACTCCACCTCCACGAGGTGGTCGCTAGGTCAACAGAACTCTAGTCTATAGTGAGTGCGAGGTCAACCTAACTATAACCTATAGGGTGTGAAATTTTTCACAGCCCTGAGTGACATAAGCTAGGTCGACCTAAGTTTTAGGTGTAGACCAGGCCTTAGAAGCTGGTGATTGCTGCTTACAGGGAAAGTTTGATTTTTTTTTTTAAATACATACTTCAATTACTTTTGAGATAACAAGGGAAATCCTGACGAGTAATACATTGACGTATGCTTGAAATGAGATAATTTTGGGAGACATGACAGGAAATCAATTAACTTATTCTGAGAGACTATGCAAAAACTCAGAACATTTTTTGTTTATTCACAACAGTACAGTATAAACTCCCAAATATACACCAATGCTATAGTGTTAGGTTTTAAAAACATGTACATGGGTACTGGAGACAAAACATGCATAATAAATATTGTTTTAATGAATGAATTAGTTTTCTCTGTGTATTGGAATAACTTTTAAAAATCTAAAATGTAAAACATTTACAAAATAGAAGAATTTGGGTAGGTAAAATGTGATTGGTAGGGTCTCATCTTTCCCTTGAGGCACTGTGCAGCATCAGCCCACATTAAGTATTACAGTCTAACTGCAAAAAGGAAAGGTAGATTTAGAAGTACTCTTATCACAACCCCAGTCACCTCACAGAACTATGTTAGCTCAGTACACAAGCAGTAATGCTTACCAAGTTTATCTACACTGAAGCCCTCTGCTGCCGCCAGCTCTGACTGAAAGAAATCATAATCATATCTGATCAAGTCCTCATTGGTGCGTTCTGCAGGAAATCCAACATAAAGGTAAGCACTGTTTGATCCCAAAATAACACGATCCTGAAGATTAAAGTACATGGTGCTGGTTAAACTCAAGGATGTGATGTTTCTCACTTAAAGTGCTCTCTTTTTAGCACTTTATCTGTTTGCTATCTGCAAACTGATATGCAGAAATCTGCTATCCCATAAGGAAGGTGAAGGGACTGAAGAAATGTGCATAATTATGTAGTGTTATTTTGACAAATAAAATTTGCAGAATTTAGCAGAACTTTAAAATATTGTGTGCAGAATTTTTAATTTTTTGGCGCAGAATGCCCCCAGGAGTCAGACATGCAACATTAAACAACAGTGGTGTAACATTCAGGTCTGTACTAAACATACTAAGGTTAAAGACATTCTTTTAACTTAAGCTTCAATAGTAAATGAAGGCTACTTACCTATAACTAGAGTTCAAGATGGGCTTTGCATCATTACTTATGGTACTGTGCTGCCTTGCAGTAGAACCCTCTTCTAGCAGTGTCAGCTTGAGCACTTTCATGCCCCAGCTCTTCCCCTCAGTGTCCCAATGCACTGAGGGTGAGACTATACAGGGGTAAAGCATGCTCTCCACCTCAGTTCCTTCCACTGCAAAGCCAGATACACAATCACAGGGACTCTGACAGAGAGGGGAAGGAGGGTGGGAAGTGACTATCCAGAGTCACTTTGAAGAACTCTGGTTACAGGTAAGTAACTTTCATTTCTTCTTTGAGTGGTTCTGCATATTTCTAGGCAGTCATCTCCCATTTTGTATTCGTGCAAGTGATTATTCCATCCCAAGGGTAGTACTTTGCATTTGTCCTTATTGAATTTCATCCTATTTAATTCAGACCATTTCTCCAGTTTGTCAAGGTCATTTTGAATTCTAATCCTGTCCTCCAAAGCACTTGCAACCCTCTCCCATCTTAATATCATCCACAAACGTTATCAGTATACTCTCTATGCCATTATCCAAATCATTTATGAAGATATTGAATAGAACTGGACCTAGGACAGATCCCTGTGGGACCCTACTCAATATGCCCTTCCAGCCTGACTGTGAACCACTGATAACTACTCTGAGTATGGTTTTCCAACCAGTTGTGCACCAACCTTACAGTAAGTTCATTTAGGCCAGTGGCTCTCAACCTATTTATTATTGTGGGCCACATATGCAGCCCACAATGTGTTACCTGGACCACAGGTTGAGAACCAGAGCACTCTCCCCACAGGCTTCACCCCACAAACCCCTATGCCCAGCGCCTCCCACCCAGAGACCCCTACACGAAGTGGGGCCAGGAGTGGAGCCCTGTGCAGGGGGGCCCGGCAGCAGGGACTCTGGACCCTGATGTGCAGGGCCCAGTGGCAGCCCCGCCACTGGACCCGCCAGCCCCTGCCACACAGGGCCGGCAGCTCCGGACCCCACAGCTCCGGACCGTGCTGAACCCCACCTCCTGGATCTGGCAGCCCCAGACCCCGCTGAACCCCACCACCCAGGGCCGGCTGGTGATCCCAACCTCACAGTGCCGCGCCCTGCCTGGACAGGACAGCCCTGCGGTGCTGAGCGGTCAGGCAGTCAGTAACCTGGATCTGCGTGGCCTGTGGCCTTTAGCACACAGCTGTGGCCCTGCTGTGTGCTAATTGGGCTGCATGCGGCCCGCGGGTTGAGAACTGCTGATTTAGGCTATATTTCTCTAGCTTGTTTATGAGGTCAGGAGAGAGAATATCAAAACTCTTACTAGAGTCAAGATATATTCTATTGCTTCCCTCCATCCACAAGGCTTGTTGCCCTGTCAAAGAAGGATATCAGGTTAGTTTGACACGGTTTGTTTTTGACAAATCGATGAGGACTGAACACGATTGCTCAAGTGCAGACAGAGTTACAGTCAGATCATCCACACTGTCAGGTGAAGGGTCTGCAGGCCCTGGTGAAAGATGCTGCCCCGCTCCAGGAACAGAAGATCTGGAGACAGAAAGAGGCGTGTGAAGACTCCACCAGACAGCTGAAGGAGATCTGTGAACCATGGTTAACAAGGCCAAGCTCGGGCAATGGGCATCATCCTTGCTCTGTCCTTACGTATTTTCCTTATCCCCTTTTGTATCAAAGGAAAAGGCGTACATTAAAACCTGCCCTCACTGTAGTAGGAAAGTATTTGACAGAGACAAACTGTGCCTGCTTGCTCTGCAACAGAAATAGGACATTTTCTGTTGAACCTTGTCACAAACGGGTCCATGATTGGTTGATCCCATCTGGAAAGAATGGTCTGAACCAGCTGATCCTTCAGGGATCATTCATGCATCTGGGAGCTGCTCCTGCTGTGACAATCTGCAACTACATTATTCCAGTACACTGATGTACAACATTCCCCTTCAACTGTTGAGTGATTCAGATGCCCCCTCAACCATTGATTGGCACTTCCAAAGTCATTGTCCAGGATGGACCCAGAGCGCTGAACTACACACCCATGAGCATGTTCATCCTACTTGACCACCCGTCTAGAGGCTATGATGTTCTGAGGCCTGGTGCTCAACAGCTGAAGACTGTCCCAACTTGGACTATAGACCTGGGACAAACGGAGTCACATATGTTGTGGCTGCCATAAACCCCATGAGACCCAGGAATAACCTTACTCTCTGTGTGGGGCAACTTTGAATCTTTAATAGGCATTGCTTCATTCTGAGAAACCTGTCGTCTCGCAGCCCCAGCTGCCATAATGACAGAACTCTCTGGAACCAAGGAGGTAGCTGGACAGGAACAGAAGCTGGATCAGGAAACAACAACAACAGGTCTGAAGGTTCAAACATCATCAGATCTGAAGATACACATGGACTCATCTCCTTCATTACTGAAACTGTAGGTGGAACAGGTCTCCTGTAAGGATCTATAGCGGCCCTAGCCAAATTAGACAGGTCCAAAAGTTCTGATGCATGGGAACTGGTACTGTTAACATTGGCCGTCTTACTCCTATGCTTCTTTTTCGTCAGTACTGTAGCTGGGCTTGACTGAGGAAGCGGCAGAAACAGAGTCTGGCCCTCATAGGGGCTGCAGCTTCATGGAACCCTGCAGTAAGCTAGAACCTGGAGGCCACTGGGGCTGAGGCTGGCTTTTTAGACCTTGGAACAGACGACTGAATGGGTCCATAAGGTCTAGCCCCAAGGGCTTCCTTCAGCAGAAGGGGCTGCAGACAAGTCTCCCTGTCCTTGTGGGTTCTAGAGGTAAAGGTCTCGCAGATGGCCCAGACACTTCAGATAGTGCACATGGTCGTATGATACTGAGAAGACAGCTGGGCAGGAAGCAAACCTCTTAAATCCTGGCTTCTTTTGCTTCTTCAGTTCCTCCATATCCTGGAACTGGGGAAATAACCTAACTACTTGCTGACTAACTACAGTAGAACCTCAGAGTTACGAACACCAGAATTACAAACTGATCAGTCAACCACACACCTCTCATTTGGAACTGGAAGCACATAATCAGGCAGCAGCAGAGACAAAAGGAAAAGCAAATATTGTACAGTACTGTGTTAAAGGTAAACTGATAAAAAAAATAAAGGGAAAGTTTTAAAAAAGATTTGACAAGACAAGGAAAGATTTTGTGCTTGTTTTGTTTAAATTAAGATGGTTAAAAAGCAGCATTTTTCTTCTACTTAGTAAAGTTTCAAAGCTGAATTAAGTCAATGTTCACTTGTAAACTTTTGAAAGAACCATAACATCTTGCTCAGAGTTATGAACATTTCAGAGTTACGAACAACCTCCATTCCCAAGGTGTTTGTAACTCTGAGGTTCTAGTATATATAAACCAATACTAACTAGAAGAAAACAGGACCCCGGCGTTGAAGAGACAGGAAGGGTTCACATCTGTTCTGGCATGCAGTTGGGAAAGAACCGAGGTGGAGAGGGTGGTCCACCCCACATAGCCTCACCCTCCGTGTGTCAGGTCACTGAGGGGAGGGGGTGGAGTGTGAGAGCACTCTAGCTCAGGGGTTCTCAACCTTTTTCTTTCTGAACCCCCCCCCCCCAACATGCTATTAAAACTCCATGGCCCACCTGTGCCACAGTAACTAGTTTTCTGCACAGAAAAGCTAGGGCTGGTGTTAGTGCAGGGCAATTGCCTGGGGTCCCATGCCACAGGGGCCCCCACAAAGCTACATTGGTCAGGCTTGGGCTTCAGCCCCAGGTGGCAGGGCTCAGGGCCCCGGACTTCAGCCCCATGCAGTGGTGCTTCGGCTTTCTGCCCTGGGCCCCAGCTAGTCTAACACTGGCCATGCTTGGAGGACCCTCTGAAACCTACTTGCGGCCCGCCAGGGAGCCCTGGATCCCTGGTTGAGAACCACTGCTCTAGCGGACACTGCTTGAAGAGGGTTCTACTGCAAAGTACCACAAGGTGGCGCGGTATCCATGAGTAGGAATATGCAGAGCCACTCAAAGAAGAGCTATGTATTTTTAAAAGAGGCAGGTACTCATTTAAAATGTATTGTCCCTAGAATACCTCAAGTCCCAATCCTACAAGTAATCTTTACTCAACATGAAAGTCACTAGTGCTATATTCCGGACAGAGATTAGTCAGGCAAGTAAGGATTACAGGAATTGGCTCTTGTTTTCTCTATAATACCTTCTTTTTAAAAACACATGGTTACTCCTGTTTAAGTTAACCTATTTATTAAAAGTTACCATTATAGATAATTACTGTATCTCTACTTACAGAAATGATTTCCGGTTAGAATTTGTAAGAATCTTTCTGATCTGCAATCCCCATTTCTGATTCTTTCCTTCTCCAGGAAAACTTACCAGATGCTGCAGTTTAGTGTTCATAGTGATGGGTACACCATTGATAACAACTTTGCACTTTTGCCGCGGCGTTATGGTAACTTTGCCCTCAGTATTTGTGAATGTAGCATGCTTGTCCAAAATGCTGAAAGATAAAATACTTTTTGCAATTCATGGATCTCTTAAGAATCAAACTAAAAGTAAACATTTCCCATCTCAAAATTCTGAAAAAATATTTATTCTAATTTTGAAGATAATAAACTTTTACTTGTATTCCAGTAGCCCCTACAATGTGCTAGGCTAGGCACTGTCCACATCATCCAACCTGGGAGAAACTGCCTCTCCTCCCCAGGACATATACCACACTTGAGATCAGCAGAGACACCAAAGCTGAAGCTCCCTTGGAATAGAACAGAAGACGCTGCTGGCAGGGCATTCTGGGAGGGCCCGATGACTTTGGGATTCAACTCCCTTAACTTGGTCCAAAATAACCCAGATTTGTAGACCTTCAAGGCATGCTGCAAAGCCTATTACTGTTGAGCAGGCATTTGGCAACGGCTGAAGTGGCTGGCGGTGGGGTTTCTTTGGGGAATTTGGGTGAGGAGATATTGATTCGGTTTGTGATGTGATTTGCTACTGGGTGGCTATCTGTATAGGGGAGAACGTGCTGCTGTTGTAGATCTGTAATGATGTTTGTTGTGCGTTTTTATTTGATGGCAAGGACACCTAGAATCTGGGATAGGCCTTACTGTGTATCTATTTAAATCCAAATAAATAAATACCCTGAAGAACTCACGACTTAAGGTCCTGTGTAACATGTCACACAGTTGCTAAAATAAGTTCAACTCTATTGGCATTAGCAATGGTAGAAGTATAATGTAGATGTGCTGTTGGCATTTTACATGCTGCCTCATTGAAACCTGTTCAGATCAGGTCTAGTGGACTCTTTTTTTTTTTTTTTTTTTTAAAAACACAAAGTTTGTCTCACTCATGTTTTGCCCTGTGTTTTGTGAGCTGCACTGTCTCAGAAGCATGCAGCTACCTTGGTGGGTTATGATGCAGTCACTGAGGTAGCTGGTTTTGGATTGGCTGATGGCCTTGAAAACATGAGCTCTGTGTGGCTCAAAAGCTTGTCTCTCTCACCAACAGAAGTCGGTCCAATAAAAGACATTACCTCATGCACCTTGTCTCTCTAGCTCATTAGGACTAAAGTCCCCAAATTAAGAATAAATCAGTATTTTTAAAGTTGTTGTGTAAGTTTTTAGCTTTATGACAATTTAATAGCTGAACTTTGAATTAAATATTGCAATTTAACTTAACACTTGTGACAGTTTTGAAAAGAGCCTATTTTTCCTCCTCTCTTCATAAAAAAGGTTCATGTTACAACAGCCAAGTTCTCACAGCTCATATATATGCAATATAATATACATTTCTCTGGTTAAAACAAAAAAAAGACACAGACTATTGTGTCTTGTCTCTTACTAATTTATGTATACTTACCCTAAACCTTTAAGGGTTATTGCATTTGAGGCTGACTGACCAACATCACATGAACCTGAAAGAATTAAATTTTTTTGGCATAAGTGATTTGCTCTGGGTAACAACAGTTACACTCACCGCTTAAAATAATTGCATTTGCATTTCAACTTTTTTGTGAATCTGATGAGTTGTGCTTGACTGAGAGACCTGTCATGTTACTGCTATTATCTGAATATTAAATATATATTTAATGCTTTTAACGTATTCTGGGTCCTGATTTATATAAAAGGTTCCACACTTGGCTTCTGATTTTGTACCCATAAATAATTATGGAGGCATTTTATAGCATTTAGAAATTGAGCTATTCCGGACGCTGAGGATATTTAGTCTTGTGGACTAAATGCCATGTGCACAACAACCTAACTGGTCTGTGAGCTGCCTAATCCTCATTAGTTGAGCCAGCCCTCCAAACTGCAGCTCCTTGCAGTCATGAAAAGAAAATGTTGCCAGCGGAAGAAGCAGTGTTTTGTAGGCAAAGGAAAAGAACCTGCTGGAGTCAGGTGACAAATGATGGAAACTGGATCAGATATCAATAAATTAACTTGCGAAGTGACAAGGGCATATTTCCAGCTATCAGTAACTGACACCTAGCAAGTCTGATATGATTACTTTCACAGGTTAGGTTTCTATTGTATTTTAATAACCTAAAACATTCCTCTAATTTGAATCCTTTTATGTGAGCTTTGCCACATTAACAAATAAAAGGAGCACGTTTGACAGTGGAAAAGAACTGCTTAGACAAGGTTAGACCCTGAAAAACCACAACAATTTCATTACATGTATGTGTGGCTGAGCAACGTGATACTTAAGAGCATAAATTAGCACAACAGCATTCGGTTATGATGAATTGTAAGGTACAGAAAGAAGCATCCCTACGAGCTATGTAAATTCGTGCAGCACTTAATACTAGAATATGAAGCAAATAAAATAGAGTACCGTCCTGAATGAAGTGCTTGAGAACCCCGGAGAGTTGAGGGTCTTCATTGATATTCAAGAGATATGGGAATGTCTCCATCATCCGTCTCTCCTGATAAAGAGTTCAGATTCACATTATTTTAGTGACATATGTTGGAAAGCGCCAAATGACAGCTGATAATATACATGGAGGATTACTTTTTTCCCCTCTGTTGTTAAGGAGATCATAAACACGGGCTGTTCGAGGACATCCTGAAAAATATCTGAATACCAAACATTCACAACTCTAAACAATAGATAATAAATCATCACACAAACATTTCCCAAAACACAATCAGTTTTTCAAAAAATGCCCAGATACGTAAAAGAAACGACAAAGGTGAAACTATAAAAGTGGGTGGAAAAATGATTAGTTTGATTAATGATTCAATTACAATTCATGTTGTTTAGGTTATTACTAGTCTCACTTCAGCTTTAATGAGTTTAGAAGGTGCAGACAGTTGTTTTTACACATTATTCTCATGGATTATGTTAGCTCACGCTCTCTTATTGGTGCTGTTTTAGATCATGAAATAAAATATAGATCAAAATGAGGGCACTCTTTTGGAATTTCCCCTTGGCCAGGGCCAGCTCCAAGTTTTTGCCACCCCAAGCAAAAAAATTTTCCCGTGCCCCCCCGGCCCCGCTCCAACTCCACTCCTTCCCCAAATCCATGGCCCCGCCTCCTCCCACCGGCGTGCCGCATTTCCCCTCCTATCCCTCCTGGGTAGGGAGGGGGGGAGAAGTGGAGCGGCAGCGCGCTCGGGGGAGGAGGCGGAGGTGAGCTGGGGGGGTGCGGTTCCTCTGTCCCTCCCCCCCAGAGTTACTTCCTGAGGCCCTCCCCGCGCCCCCCACTGCTGCAGCTCACCTCCGCTCCGCCTGCTCCCCTGAGCACACCGCTGCCGCTCCGCTTCTCCCTCCCTCCCTCCCAGGCTTGCCACAAAACAGCTGATCCGCGCGGCAAGCCTGGGAGCAGGGCCAGCTCCAGGCACCAGTCGAGCAAGCTGGTGCTTGGGGCGGCAGCTTGTAGGAGGCGGCATTCCGCCCAATCCTAGGGCAGCAGGGCCACTTTTTTGTTTGTTTGTTTGTTGTTGTTCCGCTCCGGCCGCCCTGTAGGGGGCAGCGGCGTGGAGGACGGGAGCGCCCTGCAGCAAGCCCGGCAGGGTAGACCGCGTCCTTTCCTCCCAGCCGACCGGAGTGGTGTGGAGCCCTCCCGGCAGGGGGCACGGCGGGAGGGGCTGCGTGGCAGCGCCCTGCTGAAGCCCTGGCCGCCCCCCTTCTCTCTCTCCCACTGCCCCCGCTAGCCGGGGCACATCTGCAGGGCAGGGAGTCCCTCTGCACCCTGGCTCCGGCCGCGCCGCAGGTTCATTTTTTTTTTTTTTTCGCTTTGCTGTTCTGGCCACCGCGGTTTTTTTTTTGCTTGGGGCGGCCAGAAAGCCAGAGCCAGCCCTGCCTGGGAGGGAGGGAGGAGAAGCGGAGCGGCGGCAGCGCGCTCAGGGGAGCAGGCGGAGCGGAGGTGATCTGCGGCGGTGGGGGGTGGTTCCTGAGCTCCCCCCCAGGGTTACTTCCTGCAGCCCTCCCCATGCCCCCCACTGCCGCAGCTCACCTCCGCTCAGGGCCGGCTCCTGACTTTTTGTGCCCCAAGCAACAAAAAAAAAACAAAAAACAACAAAAAAAAAGGAGCCGGAGTGCCGCCCCTTGGAAAGTGCCGCCCCAAGCACATGCTTGGAGCGCTGGTGCCTAGAGCCGGCCCTGCCCTTGGCCTACTATCTGTTAAGTGGCATGGGCATAATAGTTATTATTATTCATATTGCAGTAGCATCTAGAGGGCTCAGTCAGGATCAGAGTCCCATAGGGAGAGGCACTGTACAAACATCCTGTCAAAGATCGTCCCTGCTCCTCAGACCTTACAGTCTAATTTAAGACAAGACACAAAAAGTGGTTGTAACTGTGAATCATAAAGAACAGGGAGGATGCATGAAACAGTAATAATTGTGAGCAAACTTTTAAAAATACACTATAAAATATAACTAAATATCATGTATCCAAACTGGCCATCCACATAGCCATTATCAGTTGGCAGTTACCATGTGTGTCATAGCTGAAATGGGTCTTAAGGCAGGATTCAAAGGAGGAAAGGGTAGTGGCTTTGCTGACTAATTCAGGGAGACTATTCAAAGCAAAGGGTGGCTTTGAGGAAAACACAAAGGTGATTTGAGAAGAAGCAGGCAAATGACTGATGGAGGCTGACTTCATCGGCAGATGGCAGGAATGAAGAGATAAGAGACAATAAATTGGGAGGGGCTAACTTGTAACTTGCCATAACATGGATCTTCCTATCCCTTAATTCAAAGGCAAGATTGTGTTTTTAAATACATGGCAAGGCTTTTTTCATTGGGGAAAAAAGTCTAGAAAAAAAATCATATTAAGAATGGTTACTTTTAACACTCCAATTAAAAAAGTTAATTATTCTTTTAAATAATGCAAGTCAGAAAACATTTGTAAATGTTTGTTAAAGTTAGTTAACTTCATATTTCATTTAAAGGGGGAAATCTTTGGTTCTATCCCTCAGTGCTTGGAATGATACAGGCCTGGGTCTTGTAAGTTTTGTACATGGCTTGATTTTCTTTATATACAAATGCTTTGTTTCCAAAAGTAACCACTCTTCCTCATAATCACATTAAATGGAACAATAATGGCTATAAACAAAAGATGTTATAACTGATTATTATATAACACAATTTAAGTGGCATGCTTTTGCAATTTATCCAAACTTAAAGACACATGAAGAGGCAACTAGATTTAGAAAAAAAAAACCTTTAAAAGTAATGTATCTTTTAAAACAAGCCAAGTGTGGACAGACATGGTAGCCAAAGGAAGACTGGAAAGGAACTATAGTAAGTCTATAACTTGCACTGCCCTTTAAAGAAAAAGCTTACCTGAGTAATTGCAGCATACTGCTGTTCCCATTCCTTCCGAGCTTCTTCCAGACGATATTCCCATGTTAACTGAATATTCCGAATCCGCAGTTCATTTTCAGCCAGCAAACATCGCAGTTCTTCTGGAAGGGGAAAGAGAGAGGAAATTTCAGCTGGGATGTGTGTACATACAAAGGCACAAAACCCCTGTGAATTTAATCGTCATGTATTAATTTTTAACTTCCAAAAGAAGTACCTGTTTTGATAATGTCTGAATAACCATTATAAAGTGATTAAATCATAATATAGCATCTCCGTATTTACAGATAGAAATACAGGAGCTCCGTTAGCTCCCTCTGTTAATGCAGCAACTTTCAGATGCAAAGTTTAGAAAGCAAGCTAGACTCTTGGCAGTCCCTGCTAAAGGAAAAGAAAAAGATCCAAATTCAGAAGTGTCCTTGGAATAGTCTTTCTACTCTTCTTGGATGCATCAGATATCCTCTCTGTGACCGACTGTCCCAATCTGTAAAATAGAGATAGTACCTGCCTGCCTCACGAGCATGTTGTGAAAATTAGTGTTGCCAACCCTTATGAGCTTACTGCCAGTCTTGTAATATTTGGGGGAGGAGTGTGTGTGAGATTTTTTTTTAAAGCCCCAACTACTGGAATCATGTGATTACATGAAAATCTCAGCTTTTATTGTTTAAAACAGTTTTTAGCTCTTATGGTTGTGGAGAAAAGTCTGAAAACAAGAACTGGGTATACCCTAATGGTGCAGAAACTGGAAGGCAAATAAAAAAAAAAGAGTATACACTTTACTATTTCAATAAAAAGTCTCATGATTTTTAAGCCAATCTTATGATTTTTATGGGGCTTGACTCCTGGTTTTTGAATGCTTGAGGTTGGCAATAATGGGTTTCATGTTTTGTAAAGTGCTTTGAGAGCATATGATGAGACATGCTATACAAGTGTTAAGTATTATTAGTAATATTACATGACCATCTATAAAACTACATATGCACAATAGCTTTACATTGTTCCTTAGAGGGTTTCCAGCTCTCTCTTTTGTCCAGTTCAGAAGAGAGAACTTCCCATGAACCTATATCTCATAGAATCATAGAATATCTGGGTTGGAAGGGACCTCAGGAGATCATCTAGTCCAATCCCCTGCTCAAAGCAGGACCAATCCCAGACAGATTTTTCCCCCAGATCCCCCCTCAAGGATTGAACCTCTCTCAACTCTACCAGTCCCCCTATGCTGTTAATGCCATAGGCCACTAGAAAGGGCTCCAGATGACATTTTGAGAAACTCTGAGCCATCTGGTACTTGTAGTTCCTTTAGCAGGGTTAACTTTGTAATACATACTGGTTTCATCTGCTACTGTTTTCCCAGAGTTTCCAAGCCCAGTCAGTCTGGACAACAGTTTGTTATTTTCTGCTTTCAGCTCCATTATATGCTTCTCCATTGGACTTGCATTTATCACTGCTTTGTTCTTGATCTTTTTTGTTCTTTCACATATGCAAATAATAATAATAATAAAAAAAAAAGAGGCCAGTCAGTTATTACACCATGATGCAGTCAATCTCAGCGCAGAGCTTCGGCTGGCAGAGAAGAGCTTTCCTAGGCAAAAATGCTTTTTTTGAAATATTAAGTGGAGTTTTGGAACTTTACAAATAAAAACACCATCACTATCTCAGGTGCTGAAGGCATAGGACGTCTTCCCCTGCATTGGAAACAGGAGTCCCAGCCCTGTGTTTTCTCTGCCAGCGCAGTAACCATCCCCTTCTTCCCCAGCTGGCTCTTTTACTAGGGTCTTGTTGCAGTGGTGCAACCGCATAAACGAGACGTCAAGTCAGACCAGGAAGTAAGACTGCATCAAGTCTGAAGTCACACAGAAGACATGAACATGATAGTAAGAAGCTGGGTTTGCAGGGACATGCTCTCACCATCCTCTCAAGTAGTTGCACATGCGCCCCATTGCTGGCTCCTAGCCCAATTCTCAGCCCAGGAAACATCAGGGGGAGGAAACAAGTGCATGCTGCAGCAGAGACTGAAAAATGGGGACTTCCTATGCTGAAAGACTGGATACGGAGTGAGGATGTCTTGGGAGAGAAAGGACACCTCTTCAGAGAGTCATAATTGGGGTTAGAAGTTGATGAGGAGGGTGAGGAAGATAGAGAAGTAAGCTGGAGTGGAGTGAGAGAGACATGTTGGAGGCCAAAGGTTCCCAGGACAATATATAACCACCACCCTCCACACAATTTAGTGATCAGAAACCTCACCCTTAATGTCTAAGGGTGAGCTCTTAATTTACTACTTCAACCCATTGCTTTTGTTTATTCACGTTTCACACATCTTTATTTACACTACAGTGGGTTTGTCATTTATTACTGGTGTCTCCTGTTATTTTGCCTGAGTGTTTAGCTGCATCATGGACTCACAGCAGAAATGCAAACAATTTTACAGTAGCTGAAAAACCACAAAACTATACCTCTCAGCATATCGTAATGTTGACAAAGTCTCTTCATAGCAGATGTCTGCTGGACTTACAGCTGCAATCTGTGAGTATATACAAAAAGTGTTAATACAATTTAGATTCCCTATTTGAGTTCTGTTTATTGGTTTTATAATCACCAAAGATATTACAGATCAGAGAAGGTTTACAAAGGACAAATCCATTGGTAAGCCCCTTAAATATAAAGAGAGTCCATAGAGTCTCTAAGACAGCAAGTCACTTTTTGTAATACAGAAATGATGATGATGATGATGAAGAACCACCACCATTTTTGGAGGTAGCGCAAGGAAAATGAGGAGAGATTTTTTAAACAGATTAACCTTGTTTGTACAAAATTAGTCATGTTGGCCTAGATCCTGAATACCCTTATTTACACTGGTAGTCCTTACTCAAGCAAATAGTTCCACGACTTCAACAGGACTACTCGTATGATCAAGATGTGGAGAATATGGCCTTTGGTTTGTTTCACAATCCACTGAGGAACGAAAGACTCAAGTTTGAAGAAAACTGGCTCAATAATTTAAAAAGTTATGAAAATTTAGACGTCAGCATTTTCATGCATGCACACCAGACCCTTCCAATTCATTTTCTTGCTCCCTCACTTAACAGCACTATAGAAATAGTCAGTCAGTTGGAGGCAATGACAGAATCAAGGGGAGTTCTGCTTTATTTAGGATGGCAAAATCTGGCCCACAGCATGGATGATCAAAGGTGGGCTCCAAAGAAAATAGTAGAGACCAGTTTTCAAAAGGCCATATACAAAAATGTGCATGCACTTTTGTGCACTCACGCAAATTCCAATGTGCTAGCAAACCTTGATTTGTGTGCACACCCTCTTTGTGAGTGCAAAGGTAGGAATGTGCAGGACGCAGGTGCATTTTTAAAATCTGATTTTCAAATGACAAACACTGAATAAAGGATTTAATTTATCTTGAAGTATAGATAATAAGCTTGATTGCTTTTATAACATTGTTAAAATAAAGTACTCAATACTTAAAAAGGAATGGTTATAGATATTATTGTACAGGCACACTTCTTGAGGGAGGCAGGGTCAAAAGAACTTGGCCTTGAATCTGACAGTGCACATAAGGGTGGGGATTATCAGAATAGCCACGCATGGTCATTGGGACAGAAAGTGAGCGAGCAAGCATGAGGATGACTCTGCAACCTGGTGGTTAGAGCCCTCCCCTGGAAGGGGGAAGGACCCAAGGATCCAGGCCCCTCATCCAAAGGCTTTTAAAATTATTTATCCACAGTGGAACTGCTTCAAGAGGAGAGACTGAGGGAGCCCAGCATCAGAATATCCCATAGCCCAGTGGTTAGAGCACTCACCTGAGAGGTAGCAGATCCCTGTTCAAATTCTTTCTCCCCTTCAGGTGGAGGGGGTACTTGAACTGGGATCTCCCACATGCTAGGTGAGTACCATAACTATTGGGCTAAAAGATATGAGGGAGTGCTTCCTCCTTCCCTGTCCTCCATGCCCAGACTTCTTGCTAAAAGAGCATAAGCGGCTAAGGCCAAGAGAGGGTTTGCAGCTGAGAATCTGAAGCAGAGAGAGGTGCCTCCCTCCAGCCTGGACTTAGTCACCTATCTCCAAGAGAGGGGTGGGGCTTAGGACACACCCCTCGCCTTGGCATCTCCTATTGGCTAGCTTAGATGAGGCACCATTCTAGCTTTTGTGAATCCGACTCTGAGGCACTTCTCTCTTCCTTTTCATCCTATAGGGAGCTGAGGTGCCTAACCCAGGCTTTTGTGAATCCCAGGGATTTTCTAAGTGCCTAGAAGTTAGGCATGATGATGTTGAGCATTGTCACACCTAAGTTCCTTTGGGAATCTAGCCGACTGTTCTTCTATTTTAACAATAAAATACCAGAACCCAATTATTGAGCAAGTCAGTCAACTTTACCATGATAGTCCTGCTGTTCCCCCCGAGAGCCGACTGCAGGAGTTTTGTTAGAACTGAGTCTCTGTATGGGATATGTAACACTTTCTTCCCCATAGCCACCTCAGCCAGAGCACTAAGGGAAAAATGATTGAGTGAGTAAAGAGTTAAACAATACTCTTGACGAGTAGCTAAAGAACAAGGAGAAATACTTTCACTAATGCATCTGTGCAGATGCTTCACTATATTAGCTCATGGTACCATAATTGTACATCGTACATTAGCTGATCTATAACTTTGGATGCCTCAATTTGAGTTAAAAGAACCTGATTTATTTAAGAAGTGCTAAGCAACCACCCTCAGAAAATCAGGGCATTTTAAAGGTGTCTCAAGTTGTGTGCCTGAAAATTGAGACACGCAAAACTACTAGGTGCTTTAAAAAATTCTGACTAACAACGAAGTGAGGCAGCACATCATGCTTTCTCTTCCCAGATCTGACCCAGATGCTGAGAACATGGGCAAGTCAATTAATATTCTATGCTTCAGTTTCTCCACTTTAAAATGGAGATAAAATTACTTACCTCTCAAGGATGTTGTGAAGCTTAATTTATTAATGTTTATAAAGTGTTTTCAGATTGCTCCATGGTATGCACTGTAGAAGTGCAAAGAATTCTGTTAAGCTTACTAGGTAGAAGATCTGAACTGAGGGAAGGCTGCCATTCCTATCTTTTGAACACACACACACACACACACACACTTTATGTGCCACTTGCAGAAAGGTCCTTGTTGTACCTGATGACATTTCCTAAGGTGGTTAAACTCAGATTTACACATGTCCCTTCTCTCAGCCTGTCCCCTTCAGAGCCTGAAGACTTTTGCCTTTCACTTCCTGCCAAGTCCACCAGATTTATAACGGATTGCTTGGTGATATCTTCATCTAGAAAAATCTGAAAGAAATTCCATCAGTGAAAGGAAAATAAGATATTAAGCCATATCCTTAAAATCACAGCAAGGTACAGCAACCTAAAAGCTCTGTGGATAGTCTGAGTAAATATATTGTAATATGTACTGGCATTAAGAAGCAGAGAATTATTGAAAATATGGAAAGTAACGTTATGGTTGAAAGAGAATGAACTTTTGTATAAAAATTAAGCAAGACAGACTTAAGAAGGGGCGGGGGTAGGAAGATAAATTCAGCTGGGATACAAACAGTTACATCCATACCAATGGACCAGCATCAACAGGGGAGCAAACCACAGTGTACAGAGAAGGCGAGTATACAGAAGTTCAAAGGAGCCTTTGAAATAATACTTGCTAAAAGACAGGTCAAAGCAAGACTTGCCCAGTAACACAAATACCATACTGAGACACACTGGAACAATGGACACCTACAGGAGGTTGCAATAATCTTGGCCTTGTCTGCATTGGGAATTGGTTGCAATTCCAGCAATTGACAGCCAAACACAGATGTAGTTTCATCGGTGCACGTGTGGACAAAGAATGCCATGGCTGGCACCAGTGGAGCTTATCCTTGCAATAAGCCATTTGTGACAGCAGCATCACTTTTGCAATCTGATGCCTGCACTCCCATACCTCCATCTGCATCTGAGTCCATGTAAGGAGAAACTCCCTGCAACCAGCTTGATAGTGGCAGGCCTGTTATTACATACAGCTCTGTGCATGGATGACCACAGCAGTGAGAACTACAGCAATCACAAATTATTTCCAAATCACAGAATGATAGGACTGGAAGGGACCTCAGAGGTTAAGAAAAACAATTTTTCTCCCCCCTCCTTGTAACAACCTTTTACGTACTTGAAAACTGTTATCATGTCCCCCCTCAGTCTCCTCTTTTCCAGACTAAACAAATGCAATTTTTTCAATCTTCCCTCATAGGTCATGTTTTCTAGACCTTTAATCATTTTTGTCGCTCTTCTCTGGACTCGCTCCAATTTGTCCACATCCTTCCTGACATGTTCGCCCGAACTGGACACAATACTCCAGTTGAAGCCTAATCAGCGCCGAGTAGAGCAGAAGAATTACTTCTCATGTCTTGCAACACTCCTGCTAATACATCCCAGAATGATATTTGCTTTTTTTGCAACAGCGTTACACTGTTGACTCATTTATCTTGTGATCCACTATGATGCCCAGATCCCTTTCCACAGTACTCCTTCCTAGGCAGTCATTTCCCATTTTGTATGTGTGCAACTGATTATTCCTTGCTAAGTGGAGTACTTTGCATTTGTCCTTATTGAATTTCATCCTATTTACTTCAGAGCATTTCTCCAGTTTGTCCAGATCATTTTGAATTTTAATCGTATCCTCCAAAGCACTTGCAACTCCTCCCAGCTTGGTATCTGTGGACTGCAGCTGTTTGGAGTGCCTCCTGGTACAGTTGCAAGACACCTACAACTCCCTGGGCTACTTCCCCATGGCCTCCTCCCAACACCTTCTTTGTCCTCACCACCGGACCTTCCTCCTGATGTCTGATAACACTTGTACTTCTCAGTCCTCCAGCAGTACGCCTACTCACTCTCCGCTTCTTGCGCACCTCTTGCTCCCAATTCCTCTCACACACTTCCTCTCCTCTGGCTCCCCCTAGCTTGACTGGAGTGAGCCCTTTTATAGCATCAGAGGGGCCTTAATTAGAGTCAGGTGCTTAACTGCCTCACCTGACTCTTAGCAGGTTAATTGGAGTCAGGTGGTCTATTAGCCTGGAGCAGCCCCTGCTCTGTTCAATCAGGGAACAGAAAACTACTTATCCAGTGGCCAGTATATCTCCTTTCTGCTACTCTGCTGTTCCCAACTGGTCTGGGTCTATCACAGTGTGCTCTCTATGCTATTATTTAAAGTAAGTGAACCCCCAAATACTTTAAGCCAGTGGCTCTCAACCAGGGGTACATGTACCCCTGGGGGTATGCAGAGGCCTTCTAGGGTGTACCTCAACTTACCTAGATATTTGCTCAGTTTTACAACAGGCTACATAAAAAGCACTAGCGAAGTCAGTACAAATTAAAATTTCATACAATGACTTGTATAGTACCTAGAGCAGTATAAACACTGAAATGTAAGTAAAATATCTATATTCTAATAGATTTTTTTATAATTATATGGTAAAATGAGAAAGTAAGCCATTTTTCAGTAACAGTGTGCTGTGACACTTCTGTATTTTTATATCTGATTCTGTAAGCAAGTAGTTTTTAAGTGAGATGAAAGTTGGAGGTACGCAAGACAAATCAGACTCCTGAAAGGAGTACAATCATCTGGAAAGGTTGAGAGCCATTGCTTTAAGATTCTATTAAAAAAATCACCTTCTGTAACATACTAGGAAATGTGGTCAATGCATATAAGGAAAATGAAGGGGCTTTGAATTTGTGTCTGCAATGAATTTAGGAGAATTTACCTTGTGAATTTACTTTTCTTGCAGAATTAGTTAAATAAGAATTTTAATCTTGTGAAACAAATATGCTGAATAGTGGAAAATAGGGCTTCCTCATACTGAACCTGTTTGAATTGGATGGTAATGACCATGTGAGATCGACTGCTTGTAGCATTCATGCTGGTTGAAGCTGTGGTTCTTATTTTAGTTCCTTGTTCCATTAACCTCTCAATTTGTGCGTAGCTGTCACAAGGCACCAGTTTCAAGCCATCCACATAAAAGCCTTGTTGCTGGTCTTCTCTAACCTTGAGTCCACCAGGTTTCTTGGTTTCAGACAGTAAATCTATTACCTATGGAGAGGTATTTACAGTCAAAATGTTACTGGATACAGCTATGTAGTGATTGAAAAAGAACATTTTGTGAAAACAAAGAGAAGGGAAAAAATCTTTCAAAGTCAAGAAATGATAGCGTGATTTTGTAAGTAGCAAGCAGTAAAGCAATTAACTATACAAACACTGTTTATGGTAGTTTATTACCATCTGGCACGTCATAAAACCACAGCTAGTTGGTAGAAATGCTTGTTACTTTGAATATATAACACAACTGTCTTTTTAATATGTGTGGTTTTTGATTTTGCCCCAGATCCCTAAGTGGCCCCCTCAAGGATTGAACTCACAACCCTGGGTTTAGCAGGCAAATGCGCAAACCACTGAGCTATCCCTCCCCCGCCTAAAGACCACCAACTCCATGGATGAGCAGCATGGGGTAGTGGTCAGAGGGACAGATAAGCCTTGGTAACCTTTCCGTAACATCTTGGATGCAAACTCCAGGCAGGCACCATACCGCCCAGGATGTTCAGTCTGGTGACCAGATGGATGCCTCCATCCCCTTCAGAAAGGAGTCCCTTATCTCGTCCCTTTTCTCTTCCTCTTGGATGCAGTGGCTGCAAGCCTCTCAGCTTTGGGGCTTGTGGTTTCTCTCTCTCAGCCACTGGGGTCTAATCCTCTCCTCCTGTGCCTGTACAGATACCAATTCTTGATCTCAATGGACAGAAGACCCGAGGTGGCCAGCAGCCAGTCTCCTCCCCACAAAGCAGCTGGTTCTCCTTCCTTCTCTGGGGCCTCTGTAGTCATCTGTACTTGGCCAGCATCCTGCATCCCTGATGTTTCTACAAGCATCCTGGCAATAAAGTAATCATGCCCCTGGAAGCTATGCAGGTAAGTCCTGTCCTCCTGCAACTCTCTTACATGCATTATGATGGACTCCACCAACAGACACCTCTCACACCAGGTAGTTCCCCCTGCCTACTTCATTGGCAGGGACATGCAGGCTGCATTCCCAGCAAGTCAAGACCAGGGCCTTGATGGAGGCCTCCAGTCCGGATGCTTGTCTGGTGGGGGCTCCCTCAAGTGAAGGAAGAGGAAGAGTGAGCAGTGGTGTTGGCAACACACCATTTTCCTCCCACTGAGGGTTCTTCGTTGTAGAGTAACTGCTAGGCTATGTCTACACTTACAGTGGCATGTAAAATACAGGTGCAACACGTGTAGCTACACACTGTGGTGACAAGTCTGGACACAGCCCGCCTTTCACTATGTTGTGTAGCTACATGTGGCAGTGAAAGGAGCTGTCAGAACCTTTCTCCATTGCCTCCCCACTGTGAGTGCTTTTCACTCCAGTGGGGAAAGGTTCCGGCAGCAGGACACTTGACTGATAAAAATAGAGAATACACCTCTACCTCGATATAACGCAACCCGATATAACACGAATTCGGATATAACGCGGTAAAGCAGTGCTTCGGGGGGGCGGGGCTGCGCACTCCGGTGGATCAAAGTAAGTTCAATATAACACGGTTTCACCTATAACGTGTTAAGATTTTTTGGCTCCCGAGGACAGTGCTATATCGAGGTAGAGGTATATATGCTAGGGCTTCAGGAGTGTAAGGCACTCTACTCGCCTGAACGACACCAACATTTGTGCTACGTCTCTCGTGGAGGTGGAGTTATATCAGTGTGGTAGGGCACTTACATCGGTGGGACAAGGCTGTGTATGCTGATATAATTAGACCGACGTAAGTTGCCTTACATTGACCTAACTGTGTAGTGTACACCAGGCCTGAGAACTTAAAACAAGTAAGTTAGTAAATAAACATAAATGGAAAAAGATTAAAATTCAGAATTCGTATGATATACCAACACCATTACCTGCTCGTTATAAATTTCCAGCATACTGAAAGTAACCTGCAAAGACAAGAAGCAGCTGGAAGATAAAAAAGTTCTCTTGAAAAAAAGCATACTTTTGATACACAGTTATCTCTAAGTCAAAGGAACACAGATTGTCTGGACAAAAAAGCCATTTGTCTCAAACTAAACTGACTGTTGCTATATCTTGTGTCAATGCATAAGCCATGCATACAGTTGGTTTTGTGAGACTGTTTTCCTGATCCACACTGCTCTCTCATAACTCTCATTTCTATGAATCCCCAACCTCCCTCCTCCATCCTTTGTCTCCTCAGCTTATCTCAGGAAAACGCCATGTCAGCTTATCCATTTTAAGATGGAAACGCTGGACTTTAATAAATCATTTTTCAAACTACACTAGCTATTAAGAGTTACAAAATTTCATTCTTGCAACATTATGGTTATGAGAAAAATTCAGCAAATGGGAACATTAAAGATTCAGACATTCATTTGGCAATGTGGCAAACTTGTATGATTTATGGTATACATTTTATTAAATAAACAGCAATATATTCCAGCCACATTCATTCAGAAACGGAAAAACACAGTTTATGCATAGCCTGACCAAGTAAGCATTGCTGTTGGAACCTTAACTATTGCACTTCTTGAATTTTCAGATTTTAACTGCAGCCTTAATGGTGCATAAATGTTTTTCGCACTTAATTTTTATGGAGTTATTTTTGTTTTTTCAATAATGAAGAAAGTTTTATATTGTTAGTGTAGTCCCAAATAGGCTTTGCATTTCCACTTCATTATGGGGAATGCGGTGGTAAGGGATGAGTTCCCAAGTTTGCTGCCGCCATCAGGTCAGAGAGTGGAAAACCCACATGCAGCATCTAACAAGGTGGGGAAATGCAAGAAGATTCCCCCTGGTAATGCCCCTATGCAATTCCTGTGCTCACATGCAAAGCCAGATCTCTACTAGTACCACCTTAGATGCAAACCACACCAAAATGGATGGGGAGAGGTTGAGCTATCGAGGCACTGAGAGGAATAGCAGCTGGTGTAAGTGTTCTGCACCTGAGATTCAAATAAAAAGAACAGGAGTACTTGTGGCACCTTAGAGACTAACAAATTTATTAGAGCATAAGCTTTCGTGGGCTACAACCCACTTCTTCGGATGCATATAGAAGAAGTGGGTTGTAGCCCATGAAAGCTTATGCTCTAATAAATTTGTTAGTCTCTAAGGTGCCACAAGTACTCCTGTTCTTTTTGCGGATACAGACTAACACGGCTGCTACTCTGAAACCTGAGATTCAAATGTAGCTAGAAGGAGCTATCAGGTTCCTATTAATTATTCATGGTAACTAGTAAGGCTAATGCTCATGGTTACACTGCAGTCTATGAAGCTCTTCTACTCTGTTATATGTAGAAATTACCAGGAACACCAGAGTGGAAGGAAAAGGTAGAAACTATTTTTGTGGTTGGACACAGATGACGTGGGAGAACTTAATAATCGCAAAACCTGTGCTGCAATGCTAGGGCCATTGTTCCTACTGAATACAAGAAGTTTGACAAAACATAAAACAATTTACATGACTAAAAAGAAAAGTTAGTCCTTTCCTTCAGTAGTGAGGGTTGGAAAGTCTGTTGATGCCTGTTTGTTAGACTTTTCTCTTGTATCATGTTGAGGAGAGGCATAGCTAAGATAAAGGAGTAGGTAAGTAGAGGTTCAAAATGTAGGTAACTGTTCAAATGTATAGTCTTCTGTGTGGAAAAGATAGGTTGTGACTAGACAGTGAGTAAAGTTTTCAGAAGTGCCTTGGTTACCTAGGTACTTTAAAAAGTCATACCCAGTGAAAACAACAACAAAAAAAATTCATGCCAGGATTAAGTTAGCTATTACTGGGACAGGGATAGGTTCAAGTTCTCCTGTATTAGATCTGCTCCTCATTCAAACACTTCTCACTTGTTATTTTATATTATGATTGATTAACACTGAAGCTAGTTTTAAAATGGCAATGGCAGTTTTCCAAATTTGAACTTGAGAGCATATATGGAGAGATCTTGAAAACAAAACAGTGTAGACCATACCTGATATTGCTTGTTCTTCTGGTTCTGAATTGGTTTGAAGAGCTCTTCACACACAACTGGAATTATGCCTCTGTTTGCACCATATCCAATCATAGAATAGCTCTTCCCTGAGCCAGTCTGGCCATACGCTAGGAGAGTAGCATTATAACCTTGCCAGGCATTGTCTAGGACTCCTTGACCAAGGTCACGAAAGACCTCTCTCTAAAAAGGAGACATTTTTACTAATAGAGAACGTAAACACATGCACCAGAATGGGATTAAAAAAAGATTAAACAACCCCCAGCCCTCCAAATTTTTTTTAAATACAGGTTTAATTAAAAAAAACAAACTTAATTAAAATTAAATTTGAAATGATGACTACCCATAAGGCCTAAATTTACTATAATCTTTTAAAATAATTTCAATTAAACAGTAATATTAATCACTATATGTCTGCAGCCAAGTTTTAAAGAAAATCAAACAATTGAACTAGTTGACATTGGCTAAGCACCGGAATCAGAATTTGTTGAAGTGCTAAACCAGCTTTTCACAGCAGTAACCTCTTCTACAGGTGCAGAGAGAATATTTTCTTCATTTCAGTTTATTCAACTAGTTCAGTCCAATGATTAGTTCATTCAAATGAAGAAACCAATGAGACCAAAAAAAAAAAGCAGAAAAATCTTGTTTTCCCTCTTCCAATCTATGAATAAAAACTATGTCTGAGGATGAGCTCTACTAGTTCTAAAATCTTGAAGGACAAGGTGACCAGAAACCATCAATTCAATTCACTAACCTACAGATAATAACTGATTTATTAAAGAGAGGAGGTATTAATGCAAGTCATATTTTGATAAATTTTCTCAAGTTTTTTTTCCTTATGTATCCAGCACATCTAAGTTATTTTAGTTTATTAGTTAAGAACTGCTGTATTTGAAAAATATCCATTCAAAGACCTTGACACAAATTACAAGTAAAAAAGTTAATCTAATAAACACATCATTCGCTATTTTATAACATAACAAAAAAATGTAAAAACTAAGTATCTGAATAATTGTAAATTAAGCTAAATAATTACTTAAATAAATGTTTATATAGTGCATACTCCTGGTTAGCCAAAAGAAGCACTAGATTTTGTGAAAAGGCTATATTTAATTGCAAATCAACATGTTTTAATGGTTACCTACCAGTGGTTTCCTTTCTTTAGGAAAATAAGTTAAAGAGCACAAATGCAAAACAAAATTATTAAAACCATGATTTAAAAATCAAGTTGTCTTGCTTATTGATTCACTTAAATTTAAATCAATCCACTCTGACATGCACACACAAAAGCATTACTATTTAGTTAGTACAGAGGTTAGCAATTACTATTTTAATCTGAAAGTCTGGTTTAATTATGACAAATATATACTTCATATTAATGTACTTCACATATTAAGAGTTCCAGGTCTGGAAGCATAAATGAAAATGGGAAGTAGTTTTAGATGTTGGTTTGAAACATCCATTAAGTAGATACAGCTAATTCATCTCAGTTCCACTCTTGGGAATTGTAACAATTGCAATCACCAACAGAGTGAGTTGTTTAACATTTCATATTGGTAGGAAGTGCTTTTAAATAGTCCTCTGAATACATTTTACCTGGCCTGCATATCTGCTGTTGGATCCAGCTGAAATGAGCATGCCATCTTTATCCTTTAGAAATCCACTGTGGGACCAGTAAGCCAGGTCAAAGGTAAAGGTTTTCATGTGCCCTGGATTCTTAGGATCATATATGCTTGTGCTGCTGGAATTCATAGAAATCACACACCTGCTGCCTGCATCCTTCTCCCTCTGTATCAAAATTATAAATCACAATCTCAAACCAGTAGCAGTTCTAGTCACTTACTCAAAATTTATATTTTGGACCAAATCCTGCAAGCCCTTTGTATGTGGAACTCCCAGTAAAGTCAACAGGAGTTTTGTAGTTATTTGGGTATGGAGGGTGTATACGACTGGGACACATAACCACAACATATTCATCATAAAAGGTCCAATACATTAATTTCACAAAATTACACAAAATTTATCTTGAACCAAACAAGGTAAATGTAGTTTAACTGTAATCAGGGAATAAATGCCATAGAAACAGATTTGAACGGAAAAGATAGTATCTGTAATCATGTCCAAATTTGCTTTTTTCCTGATTCTGTAAACACGTCAGCCATTAGTGTTGATAAGCTATTGTTGGAAAATCCTTCACTATTGTAGGTATGGCCATAACAGAACGAAGAGTGGTACGCTATGTATGCTACTCCTGGGGGAATTATGCACCAAAATTAAAAAAATCTGTGCACAATATTTTAAAATTCTGAAAAAAATCTGCGTATTTTATTTGTCAAAATAATCACACCAGTTTCAATTCTTTTTGGTCATTTATTACAAAATACCTGTCAACAAGTATGTCTGTAACAATACAGACAACAAAAAAGATTCAGGGAATGTTTTTTGACAAATAGATTCCTTACTAGGCATATTAATACAGAACTGAGTAATAATTCATTTAAACTACAATACAGAACCGCATTTCCTGCACCCCTCAGAAGCAGTGGAAAGGATTTGGGGAGTCAGGGATAACGGAGAAGCTGAGGGAGAGGGAAGTAAATTGCTGAGGAGCCTGGGTGTGAACTTGGAGGGTTGTTGGGTATGGGTGGGAAAAGTATGGAACAGGTTTTTGGGCGGGGGGGGGGGAGGGATTGTTAGGGAGCTTCCTCCATGCAGACCCTGGCTGACCCCTAGCCTCTCCCATTCAGTCAGGCACATCTTCCCCTGTCCCTATGTGTTCCTGCACCCCATGTGTCTTTGCACCCCATCCATGTCACTCCACCCCCACTCTGACCATTCCCATATGGCCCCTCCCCCATGTGTGTCTGTGCTCCCACCCAGCCACTCCTGTCCCTATACCCCCCTCCCCATCCCTGTCTCCATGTCCCCACCCCATTCCTGTGTCCCTGTACCCCCTCCCCGTCCCCAATGTGGCACTGCACCTCCCTCCCCCGTGGCCCTGTGCCTCCACTCCCATTCAGCCACTGCCCCAGTCTGTCCTCCCCCACTAGCCCTTATGAGCCCCCATCTGAACCCCCCACCCCAACACCCCACGCTGTATGTCTCCCCATAGCCAGTCTCCTGACCTGGCCCGCTGCAAAGAAGGCAGGCTCTCTCTCCCCCTTGCTGGCAGGGAGCTGCTGCTTTGTTCTAGCGCCACAGTGCCCTCTGGTGGGCAAAAGACGGAACTGCAGCAACATTTCCGCAGAAGCTTTTTTCTGCACAAAAAATTAAAAATATGTAGGGCTCAATTATGCACATGCGCAGTAGTGCAGAATTCCCCCAGGAGTAATATGGTCTCTCTCAGAAGTACACCAAATTATAGAGCACAACCCTGTTGATTTACTTCAGGGGGGAGCAAGATTAGGCCCACTAGTTTTCTTACAATTATAATTCTGCTCCGTGAACAGAAGGTTCACACAAAAATGAGAGAGACGGTAAAGGATAGCTTATTCCTTTGCATTTTGATTATTGCATATTACATCATATGATCCTGAACTGATCAGCATTTCTTATTAATCTTGTCTGACGAAGGTCAAAGATACTTTTGTCTGTAGGCGGATTTTTCCAAGTGGAAACATCCAAACTATCAACAGCGTTGACACAGTAATTCATAATCAGTCAAATGAAGATTGAAACTGTTAGATGTATCATTATTGTACTTATAAATTTGATACAAGTCTTTAATCAGCCAGGAGTCTGAGAATTTTGATAGAGGATTTGCTGTGAACGATCACCTACTGTTCATGGGCTTGTCCATACAGGGATGCTCAGGAAAGTTAAGACGAATTAACGAAGATGTGAAGTTAATGTGCATTAATTACAGTACATTAAACCACTGTGTGAACACACTCATTCAGAAGTAAAAGTGCCCTTAGTACGCTTTAGCTTAATTCTTCTTTGAGTTTTAGGGATCCTGCTGAATTCAGGGCTTGCCTTTTCCATTCCTCCTCAATGACCTCTTTGAAAGATATTTCCCATCCATAACAAGAAAGTATCAGCCCTTGGCTTTAGTTTTCTCATCTTCCTCCATGGTTGGAACTCAGAAGAAGCCACTTTCCTTCCTTCTCCTAGTTTAAAATGTGTATCTGGGAAAGAATGCTGTCTCCTTCTGTAGTTTAGGCTTATCCAAAGCACAGAGGTCCCCTTCTTTGGAGAAGAAGCTAGAGCTTGTGGAAAGTAGTGATGCTTTTTGGTCTTTTTTCTGCGCTAATTGTGTCTTTGCCTTTTGGAAAGGTAAATGGGTAATGGGTAAAGGGGCAATGTCTCTTCTTAGTTAATGTTCCCTTTTGGGTTACAGTCTGCAAGGACATGGGTGTTTGTCTCTCAAGTCTCAGCATTCCTCATCAACTGATGTTGAATTGGAAAGGATGTATTAGGGAATGTCCTCAAGAGCTCAAGTTCTTCCTTTCAGGAAGAAGGAGAATCTAAAAGAATGCCAGATCTCTTGCCAAGTGACTCAATTTTCTGCTTAGGAACAGATGGTGGGAGCCAAGCATTTTTCAAGTTAGTGGTGAACTGGATGGAGTGATTCAGAGGAATTTTCATATTTACTCCTGAAAGGTCTCCTGAAATCTGTATCTCAAGAATGGGAATTATGTCCCTGATGCTACCCCATAATGAAAACATAACCCCTCTTACTTCCCAAGGCCTCCCCTCCCCTCTTTCTTTCCTAGCACTGTAGACACAATCCTCCTCCTCTGCAATACGCTTGCAAGCAACCTCAGTGTTGAATCAGGCCTGGTCTACACTTAAAATCTTAATCAGCATCACCATCACTCCCTCTGAGCAACATAGCTATGCCAATTTAAGCCCTCATGTAGACACAGCTAGGTTGATGGGAAAACGCTTTTGTTGACCTAGTTACCACCACTCAGGGAGATGGATTTCCTACAATGACAAAATAATCCCTTATAATCAACTTCAATTTTCAAAAAAACCCTTCAGGATACCACACAATCCACCAATGCCTAGATCTCTGCTCTGATTTCCTTCTATATCTCCTCTCTCAATATTCCCATCTGAAATCCTGTTTTACCGCTTGTCTGTGTACTCTATGCCTTGTACTCCCTTCTCTTCATTCAAGTGCCTCCTTAAAATTTGTCTTCCTTTGTGATAGTACAGTCCCAATCAACACCACTGAAGTTCAAAGAATGTGTTTTAAAGTTTCAATAGTCCAAAATAAATGCATTTTAATGTATGATATTTATGTTGGCAAATCTCTTTTAAGCAAATTTATTGTATCTTAAAGCTTCTATGAAATTACAAAATGCATGCCAGGTCCAAATATGTTCACTACTGTTATTCCAATCACCACCAAATGGAGCAAACACTAAGTGTTGCCAAACTATACACTTTACTAGAACCAGTTTGCAAAGAAAATAGTTTACAAATACTCAGCCAAATCATTAAACATTTTATGTAGCAGTTTGATATACCGTCCTTTGCTCTGCTTATTTAGAGTGAATTTTTTTTTCATACTGGGGGAAAAAAAGACACAAACAACTGGAATATGTTAAAACCCGGTTAAGCTAACACCATGCTTACTACAATTTGATTCATTCTGTTCTAACAGGGATTCCAGCACTTGGTTTTTACAAATCAGTTTGGTTGGTACATGGAACATATGTTGATTTAAAAAAAAAAAAAAAAAAAAGTCAGCTTTCACTTGCTTTTTAAGTAGTTTGCTCCTTTACCTAGTATTCATTTTTAAGTATTTCACTGTATTTCTGTACACTTAATTTAGGTACAAAGCATTACACTCAACATGTTAAGAGCGTCCTCTTTTTTCCTTAAGAGCCTATTAACATTTAAATCTAAGTACAATAAAATTTAAAGTAACTACTAACCTGACTGAAAGGTCTCACCCGTACTGCCACTTTCACACTGTCAACACTTGGCATGCTATTATTACTTTCACTCTTCCCAGGATATTTCAAAGCCGAAAAACATTTAAAGTAAATACAACTCCTTCTCTAGAGAACCCTGTTTTGAGAAATCAAAAACACAGCTAGGGAAGCTGTTTCTTTTTTATAAGGTCAGTCTATTAATTATTAATATTTTCTCATTGTGTACAAGATACTAGTTACCTGATAAATTATTTCTTAATGTAATTGCAGTAGCTTTCACTAACTGGAAAGTTTAATTTCAGGTTTCACTGTTCTGAAGTCTTCAAAATTGCACCTGGATATGAATCAACATATATGAAATACCACCTAAATAGTTCAAAGACTTAAGACCAGTATATTAAAAGACCAGACTAGCACTTCTCAAGTCTGCTTGTAAAAGGAATAGCTTTTCCTACTGTTCATACGATTTTAGGCTTTAAAGAGACACTTTCACAGCCACCTGAGAGAGTCAGTGAAATAACTGTACAAAAGTCTGGTTTGTAACTATTACCTTTGCATACTTTTTGCACTGCTCTCAGCTTAGACCAGGGGTAGGCAACCTATGGCACGCATGCCGAAGACGGCACTCTCAGTGCCCAGGTCCTGGCCACCGGTCCGGGGGCCTCTGCATTTAAATTTAATTTAAAGTGAAACTTCTTAAACATTTTAAAAACCTTATTTACTTTACAGACAACAATAGTTTAGTTATATATTACAGACTTATAGAAAGAGACCTTCTAAAAATGTTAAAAAGTATCACTGGCACACGAAAACTTAAATTAGAGTGAATAAATGAAGACTCGGCACACCACTTCTGAAAGGTTGCCGACCCCTGGCTTAGACAATTAAAATAATTGAAGTCACTTTCACTTACAGGTTTTCAATGTTACGATGTGTTGATTTTGAACACCGTAGAAGCATGTAGGTTCACAGACAATTGTTCACTATTTTAAATTGTGGTAGCATTTCTATTACTCTTAAGTTTTCTAAAAACGCATTTTTTCAAATTTAGTCCAAATTTATATGGCAATGTCCCTTTAAATGTATGTCCTATTGTACATAATTGAAAATACCAAAGCACTTACATAGCTAGGTTTCTGCTGACACAGCAAACTGGAAAAAAATAGGGAAACATCTGAGGTGTGATCTAGTTTTATAAAACGTAAGAGCAGCTTTCCCAAAGTTTAAAACAAATACAAAAAAAAAATATTGCACAGGTTCAATACAATTGTTTACATTCTGACTTCAATACAGTACATTTTAACCATGAATGTAAGGAATTAGCAGCTTGTGTTCTACAATCCCAATTATTGGTGCCAAAGGGTTAAACATTTTCTATAAAATTTAAAACAACTGTCAGGTTTTAAATTTTTTATTATAGTAAGAACAAACAAAATTTTAAAAAGAGTTTTGGCCTAATATTGGAGGGTTAGTAATTATGGCGAGACAACATTAAGATGTTCTCAAGCAATTTGGTCCACTCAAACCATTATTCCCTCTCAAAAAGCTAGCAGACAATAAGCATGTTGTGAAGTATACATTTTTATTTAACATTCCTAAAATAAGCTGTATTTACATATATAAATGTATGAAGTCTTAATATAAAATAGAAAAAACTGCATTGACTGAAGAAATCACACTCCATATGGAGTTACTTATTGAAGACCGTTTATGAAATTTTACAATAATTTATATAAATTATTCTCTTCCAAATTAGATGATTTGTTTTAATAATCCACACAATTTTGATGACTTTACAAACAGTGGTGTACATTACAAATTAAAAAACAGTTATAGCATCTTCCGGCGCACAACTGGCTTTGGAAAATTAGACAGTCTCTTTTTGTTCTTTTGAAGAGTCTTTTCTGCTGTTTCTGCAGTTTCTTTCTGTTTGCTTTTTGTCCCATCCATGGGACTTCCAAACGGAGAAATGAATTTAATCTCCACTGGTGGCGGTGACCAAGAACATTCTTTCCCCATGGTTCTGCAAGAAATGGTAAGTCACAACTAGATTACATCATGCTTTACAAAAAAAACAAAGCCCCCAAAACCACATTTATGGATGTTTTGATAGACAGAAACAGAGCCAAAAAGCTAAATTAAAACAAATAAAATTATAGTCCCCGCCACACCAAAGAAATTCTCTGATCAAGCAGGATCTTACAAGGGAAAAATTTATACTAATAACTTTATGTAAAGAGCGAGATTTTTCCCATGTATAAAATACATTAACATTTATGGCTGAAGCTCCTGACAATCAAAAGTGTAATTGGAAGATCACAATTTTCAGGAAGATAAAAAGGCAAATAAATAGCTCCTGATGGATCATGAGATTATGCTACCTTAAATTTATGCCTCTTTTGAGAGCTTAAAAGAGGTCAACTGTCCCATATCTCAAGTATCCCATATCAGATTTTTTCCTGTTTTAGGTCCATTGTCACCACTATGCCTCTAACTAAGGACATAGTCAGGGATTGATTGGAGCAGCAAAAAAAGAAAGTATAGAGTTAATCTGCATACAGCTGCTAGAGGGGAGGAAATGGGGAAGACAGCGACTCTGCATCAGGGAGGGGACAGGAGGTAAAAAGGTATACAGGTCTGTTGCATCTTACGCTGGTATTACGTTCCGCAGTCAGCGCATAAAGTGAAAATCGTGTATAGTCAAAATTACATTGAGAGTAATGGCGGGCGGAATCACCCGCACTACAGGTACAGTATTAAAATTGTTGTTTTTCTCTTTTTTTTTTGTTTTTGCCGACCGCGTAAAGCTAAATCGCGCATGTTAAATGCGCGTAAGATGCGACAGACCTGTACACAACTACAGAATAAATAAGGCTGTACTTGACCAAGTAGATTCTGGTCCAAATGTACTGGAGAGGAAAAATGTGCCCCATCAATGGAGAACTGGTTTATATACTGAGAAACAGAAGACTTTAAAAAATTGGAATCTATGGCTTGAAACAATGGCATAAACTAAAGTGTTCCTTTCATTGTACTTCCTATGTTCATAAAATTGAAGTTTTGCTAGAGGTAGCAAGAATCTTTATGATATTCCTTTAAAAATGCTAAACCATAATTAAACTTTTCCTTCTTCAATTTTCCAACTGCAAAGGGCTCTTTCCTTCATCTTAAATCTTACTGAAATTAAATGAAAAAGACCCCCATGCATAATTTCCTCATTTGCCTGATACAGAAAGCCAAACTAGTCCTAAATACAAGTCTTGAAATGTTCAGGTGGGTGGAGAGCAATTTAGGCTTCTACTTCTGAAAAAAAACTTTATTCCAGAAAAAGAATACTGTTCAATGGAAATGCATATTGATAGATTTGAGCCTTGAAAATCATTTAAAAAAAACGAAACAAAAAAACAATAAATGAATCAAGAGGCACAGTAATTTTCCCCAACCATTTAAAAAAAAGTGGATATGGGACACCCAGTTCCACACAAAGGTGCTCAAAGATAAACTCAAGAATTGATTTTCACTTTGCTACATGGGATGTAGGACAAATCAGCAGCTCTACATCATCAGAAAATTTATATCAATATTTCAAATTGGCAGTTAGCAATATTGCTTCCCACCTAAATTTATTGTGACTGAATATTCTCAAAGGATTTCTGGTGTTTTTAAACCAGTGGGCTCATGAGAACTCTTACAGAGTCATCAAAACTGTAAAACAAGGGATTCAAATGTCCTCAAGATGCAGTTCTTCGGCTTCCTGCTGGAAAACATCTCTCTATTCGCTCCTCTCCACTGTATGGAGTGAACTACAGACTTTGCAAGTTTACCTCCTAAACCTAGAATGAAGAATTTTTGCACTTTATCATCTTTACAAAAATTGCATGAAAGTATTAAGCATTTCATACTTGCTTGCTTTCTGTGTTTTTGATTTTGTAGCTCTTCTTCTCTTCACTTTCTGCTTTCCCACAAACTCTACTGTTTTGTTATCCTCTTCTTTAATTGGTAACTCCTGTTAAGGCAACAGAAAACATATACATGACTTATACTATAGACGCCCTCCCACTCCTAAGAAGTGCTGACTAATTTATAAACATGCTTAGTCCCAAAGAGTTTTAAAATCTGATTTATATGAGAATGGAACATTACAAATTATTTTGGGCAAATAGTAAATTAGCCCAAGTTTTGGCCGGGGGGGGAGGGGGGGAGGAGGAAGAGGAATTTTCCATGGAAAAGTCAAGCTGTTTCAAAAAGAAATGTCAATTCAAATAGACATTCAAGATGTTTTGTTTGACTCAAATGCATTTTTTTATTTATTTATTTTTTCATTCTGTCAGGAGTGGGGGGGTGGGGGAGATTTCAGTTTGTTTGTTTGGAGGCCAAACTGAAAAAAAAATCAATTGTTTGCTCAGTTCTATTATTACTGAAGGAGAATGTTGTTAAAAATAAAAAGTCCACATTTCTTAAGACATTAGCAGTTATTTTCCCTTACATCAGAAGTATAGTACCAACATCTGAAAATTCAAATTTGAATAGTAGGAGTTTATTCACCAAAATATAGCTAAAAGCTCAAACATTTATTTATTCTTATCTTAAACAGATACAAACAGATTTATTTTTGCAAGTATTAATAATAATTAACTCTCAAGAAGAAAGCCAAATAGTTTTTACTTAATTGATTTAATTTAAAATTTTCTTGTAAAAACATTATGCTTTTACAGAACAGGGTTCTGCAACAGTCATAATTTAAGAATATAGTTTGTAAAAGAGTTACAGAGAAAAGCTTGAAACGGATAGGAAGTAATTACAAACATTACTTACCAATTCTTTCACAATCCGTGAAATACTGGACACATGTTTCCTCCTCGACCTCAAAAGAGGGGGCGAGAACACAAACTGAGAAGACAACTCTGGGTCTAAATCCTTGAGCTGTACAGGATGCTCTGCCTTTTCAGCTACGACAAAATGTACAGCTAATGTAAATACAAAGGATGGGGAAAGATAAAAATACAACTAATACTTAAGCACAGAATAGCAAAACCAAGATTGCACCCCAGTAAACATATGGTTTGTCTTTAAATCTAAAATAAGGGTCAAAT